TCTAAGCTTAAAGACATTACACGGATAGTATGTTGAAGTTCAAACAAACTTAAGATCTAATGCAGATTTATTTGATAGAATTGTATAATATATTCAATGGATCAATGTTAAGCTTTAATATCTTTACTTTTTCTTTACCTCTTCCAAATGTCAGTAAAACTGACAGCATTTTTGGTGACATAACAGTTAGGCTGAAATTGTATCTAAGTTGCAGTGATGCTTGTTACAACAGAAACAGTACGCACTTCCAGAACCGCTTGGATCCCAACAGTGTTCCTAATTAGTTTTTCTTTAGACTGTCATTTCCTTTCTTTTTAATAGTTTTGATTGGGTGGCACTCACCCTGACCTGGTGAAATAACAAGCTAATTGTTTTTGATTTTCATCTCATACAAAAAGGGAAATGCAGTACTGTATAATAAGATACATAAAAAAGAATGTTACTTTTTAAAGAAATTGAAGCTTCTTCTCAAGTGAATCCCAGGCTCAAGTATGTCTGACATTTCTTATTCGTCAGGTGTAGAATAAAAAATTCTCTAAATAAACTGATCCCAAAAAATGACGCTTTTTTCTGACCTTTGGAGTAATTGCTCCACTGATTAACTGACTTTATCTACAGGCAAAATATGATTGTGTTATTGCTTCCTCGAATTGTTCACTGTTTAAAGTGAGATTATTGACATATGAATATCTGTAAATTAATATTCAGTTCCTCAGGTGAAAAACAGAGTCGTAACCTGAGTATTTTGGCACACAGCACCTTCTTACACTGTTTCCTTTCCCTAAGAAGCCATCCTCCCCTTGAAATGATTTGTATGACAGCTTCAATAAACAGTAAAGGAGCCAACCCAAGTGCCAGAGACAGATTTGTGTTAAATTAAAACTTTTAGGTACTCCGATATATTTTTGTTGTAGTCAAGCGTTTGTTTCAAGTAAGCATCTCTACTTTCATACAAGTAATTGCACAGCAAGTTGGATTCCCCACAACTCCAGAACTGTGTTGGCTCTTAAGAGTCAGACCAAAGTCTTCAGCTTTATTTGTGTTTTTATATGACTGAGATGAATGAAATGAAGCTTGCACCATATCAAACACTTGGATGTGGTGTTCCTAAACTCCATTATTATGGCCTATTAGCTACAATGAGGGAGCCAATAATGTGTTCACGATTCAGCTTTCCTTTATACAAATCGTTAAAACACACAACCCCAAGCCTGTGTTTTCATACACGTGTAAGCTTGTGTCCAAACCTGATAAAAACAATCAATTTGAAGGGTACCTTCTTCTGTTTTATTGCCAAAAGTAATTTGTCTCACTCCATTTGCAGTAAACTGAACAATAGTGGGTTCGGGGGGGGCGTACTGAAACTGGATTATATCACTAATGCGTTTCAGCCTAATGTTCACGATGAGCTGGGTGTTCATAGAATGGGGAAGATATGAGGAAAAATGAACCCATAAATCTGTGAGGACATATCGGGCCTTGAGATTTACGATTTAATCGTACCATGTAAGAATCTAAGGTAGGAGTGTTTTTCTCAGAGGAGTAGCCTGTTGACTGACTCCAGATACTACATGGATGTTATTTTTTCTTCTTTTTGTTCCTATTTGTTGCAAGTGTATGCTCGTGAGCACTTAGTTCCCCACATGCAGCAGCATTACAGTCTGCGTCTGACCTATTTCAAGATTTGGTGTCCTAGTTTCTGCATTTTTTCCTTCCAAAATAGAAACAGAAAAAGAAATATTTTGCATGCTGATCTAACAGGTTTGTCTCCTGACATTTCTGTTATCGTACCAAAACCATCCAAAACATTTGCAGCCCGCTCCTCCTCGTTTAAAGCTCATATTGCGTCCTCTATGTTTGTGGAAGAGCTTTGGCTGAATTATCCGACAAATCCTGTGCTTTCTATGTAAATGAACTGTGGCTGCATGTGAATCCAGTGTCTTTTATATAAAGGCGCACATTTTTTGCCCTGACTGCCCACTACTACTGAGACTCTAGCTTTGGCCCGTTTGTGAAGCCTGTCCACTGATCCTCAGATGTGTTCATTTCTCCAGTGGTCTTAATTAGCTAATGACAAACTGCTTGTCAACAGCTCTGATCTAAATCAAGAAGCGCTGCTGCCAGAACTCATGTGGCTTCTGTTAAGAGATTATAAACACTGTCAGAATGCCTCTGAGTGTAACTCATACCACAGGGAATCTGCTTTAGACTAAACTCCCTGTGCATCCTACTGGAGAATATTTGCAGATGTCGGCCTCCTCCTACTGTAATTGCATGTCCCAACGCAGTGCGCTGTAGATGTCTGGTGCGCATCCAAAACACACAAACGGACACACATACCGAAGCGCGTGTTGCTCGCTTGTCTTCACAGAGCCATAATGTCAGAAATGTTTCTTTACTTTCTTAACACATGATCATTATAGTCTGATGAGATGGCTGCCGAATAAGCATTTTGGAGGCATGTCCTGACACTGTCTTACCGTCTCGTCTGCCAACTGTCTCTGCTCGCACTTTGCAATTATAGAAACCCACAGAGCCCTGCTCCCAAGTCTTGATCTTTCTCCTGCAGAGATCTGCGGCCGAGCATTCAAGGAACATCTTTGTGTCTTTGAATTGAGGGTGCACATTTCTCTTTATGAAAGAACCACCTGACCCCCTTTTTTTGACTCAATCTGAAGAGAAAGTTTGTTTTTTTCAGGTTTACAGCCAAACAAAAACTTGTCTTCTTTTCAGAGCTTTATCTGAAGCTACTCCCCCCTCCAAATTCATACATGCATGTTACCATGGTAACAACACCAACAACTGACCAAATAGAAACATTTCAATCGTATGCTGTGTGGAAGCGGAAAACTCTTTCTTACTGAAAAAACAAAGATTATGATATAAATGTAATGAAGTGAGCAACACACAGGAAATAACAAAGAATCCCAAATGAAGAATACTAAAAAAGAGAAAATACATTGATGCCTTGACAGCGCAATACTTTCAGTAACAACTACAACGAACAACAAAAGTCCATATAGTCCCACTGTTTCCCGCTGCTGTAAAACTGTTTCCAACCTTTGCAGAAGCAAATACAGCTGATGGCACAAATGACAACAAACGGGTTCATGAAATATACTGGTTCTACATGAAAATAAAGTCAAGTGAAAATGAAAAGAAAAAAATATTCTTAGTCTCAAAAGGAAATGATAGTATTCAGTGTGCTGGTTCAAATGTTCAGAAATATTCAGACTATGTTTAAATCAGTGGAGATTCATGTGAAAAAACCTAATTCACTTCCTCCAAATGAGTGATTTTATATATATCTTAATAATTCATATCTCCATCCCTCATCCCTTTGAATTGGCTCTGAAGCTGTCGATTTGCAGTTTTCTTTCTTTTTTTTTAAATGTTCCTTCTGCAAAAAAGAAGTTTTCACTGAGGTTAGTTTGAATTAATAAGAACAGATATCAACATCAGTCAAATAGGGAAACAAGCTAGTCCTTTTTTTTCACAGCTTACATCACAGCATTTATTTATGCCAAGTGTTTTTTTTAAAGTTTTTTTTGGGAGGGGGGATTAAATGGTCTTTACCAGCACTTCCCAGTGTTGGGTTGAGGTCTGGACTCCATAATGAAAGCATACGTATCTATTATTTGTCATTCTCCCAGAACCAATGGGACCTGGAATCTATCTCTGGAATTTCTGGGTTATCGGTATATCTATTTTTGGGGGTTATCTAATGTCGATTCACCCAGACCTGAGCAACTGAAGCAGCCCCGGATGATGAAGCTGTCTGTACAGGACCGTACACAATAGATTTAAAGGCTGCACCTGTCTGTTTCCTATCACCCTGATAATGACTTTTTTGGGGTGTTTGTTTGTGGCTTGGAGTGTGGAAATACTCTCACTATCACTATTATATATTGCTGTGATTTGATGTTTGCTGATGTTTTCCTTGAAATGGTTCAACACTGTCCTCCTTCAATACCTAATTTTTAACTCATATAAAACAGAGTGACATATTTCCATAACCAGAGAATGTCTCTTGTTAGGGTTAGGGTTATTATTACATTGTTAGCATCTGAAATAGTTCAGTGACTCTAGTGCTATTAGCTATTCTCGTATGATCCTGTATGGCCGCGTTCACCAATTTTGCTCATATACAAGTCAGACATGTTTACATGTTCCCAGATTTTCCCCAAGTATCTCAACCTGAAACCATATTTGAGCCTATTGGTGTTGGTGTGCAGAGGGCACCTCAGGTCTGAATTGGTTGGTACATCAAACCATTCGTGGAGGAACAGTGAGGCGTTTTCCGGTGCTAAACGGCACACAAATGTACCAGTTTTGTGGTGGAACGTTCAGGTTGCGGCACGGTGTGTAGTTAAGGTTGAGAAGAAGCGCTCCTAGTTTTACAATTGCATAAAGAAAGATTACTGTTGCTTTGTTTTTTGTTCTAAGCCGTTTGAGATGTTTCACCAACTAGAATTAGAACGACACAAACTGATAAAAGGACATTTTTTTCTCATGCAACCCAACACGGAAACCAGTTATCTGAAAAAGCTTTTTTTTCACCACGTGCCTGGGCAGTTTTGCCAAACCAGAAAAAAGGTTTTAACCACGTGTTTAGCAGTAAAAAGACTTTACAATGATGGGACAGACAAATATTGCTGTGAAAAGGACTTTTGGGGTTTACAATTCACCTTGACCCTAAAGATAATGAAACATACTGGTGTATTGTTTTTGTCACATTTGAAGTCACAAAGAAAAAATGTGAATTCCCATGTTTGTGTTGTAATATTTCTTAATAGCAGCCTGCTCTCATTATTCATAACTCCTCAGCTTCTTCTTTGTTATTCTCATTCAGCCGCTGCTTTGATGACTTTTCTGTCTTCATTTCCTCTTTATTCTTCTGTACCTTTGAAGACCTGATTGCTCCTCTGTTCTTAATATCTCCTCCTGTTTGACAAAAGTGATGAAGTAGATAGTAGTACGGCTTTCTAATTTATGCAGTCATGTCACGATGCATGTATTGCTTTTTCGCAAAAGTAGGTCAAGACCGCATCTCCTTTTGTATTTTTTATATCGGGGTTTGGCTGACTCGTGGTTTCCCCGCAGAGACCTGTGCAGTGAACAACGGCGGCTGTGACAGCACGTGTCATGACTCCGTGACAGGAGTCCGCTGCAGCTGTCCTGTTGGCTTCACTCTGCAGCCGGACCGCAAGACCTGCAAAGGTAACCCCCCCCCTCACCCACTCATCTGGGCCACATTCGCACTTGCACCTTTCCATCTGTCATGGAATTAATCTCCTGCTTGTAATGCTGCCAGGCAGCCTGGAAGTCCTCTCTCCGCCCGGAGCTCAGCGCAATGATTGAATAGTTATTATTACACCTGTTCCCACTCACCTAGTTGGTATCTTCTCCTACCAACAAGCTTCATTTCTGCATATAAACTAGCCCACATTGTTCTCCAACCAAAAGGGGGTTCAGCCCTCAAACTGCTTTTGGCTTTCCAGCAAATTATTCTGAGCCGCATTTTGTGACACCTCCAATTTTCCTGACAGTGTTTCCACAGCACTGCCATCAACCTGAACGCAGATTATCATCAACCCGAGTAACCCGCAACTTACACGTTTGTGTGTTAAATCTCATAAACATGGTCACACTCTATATGTAAATTTATAAGTGGACTAAGACCAAAGTACAGCCTTCAGGAAATTGATGTATTTAATGAGAATGAAGACAACCTTTGTTTCTCGAAAAGTGAAGATAAAAATCTGCCTGCTTTCTGTGGTCCTTTTTGATGTCGTACCCGCATCACTGATAAAAGTACAATGGTTTATATTAGTTTGGTCTGAGAGAGAACGAGAGGAAAACAAATCCAGGCTGCACTGGCACAAGAAGACAGGAGCCTGCTTCAGGCCAGGCACTTCTGAGACAAAAGGACAAAAGATGGGGCAAACAGGGGGATTATTTAATTATTTTATTTAATTTTAACCAGATGATGAAGTTTCCCTCAAGAGACGAACGCCTCATTTGTGATGATGATTCAGAATTAAACAGAGCTGCTGCAAAACTTGCCAAAGCAGAGAAGTATCGCACAAGAGGAACAGCACATGTCGCATCTATTGAACATTGGCTGCAGACGTAAAGATCAGAGTACTCTGAAGGAGATGGACGATGATGATTTTGAATTTACTGCTGCAAGGCTTCAAAGTTTGAGAGCTCTGGTCCATTAAAACCACATGCGATCCGGCTTTAGTCCGTTTGAAGACCAGTGAGGACATCTAGGGGGCGCTTTTTTTTTTTCCTTCTCTTAGGCCGTCATCACATGACAAATACCATCATGGTCCTGTTTGCCACCTTTTTCACATGTATCAACACAAATACAATTCCTGTTCATATTTTTGGAATTTGTCTCAGAATCTGTCAGGGCCAGGTAGCATCACTCCACATCAAATTAGCCATGCATCCACTCGTAACATTAGTAGGCCACTGTGTGCTAATGAGGGAAGTGCTTTAGTTCCCAGCCTGTTCTGTTTTCCCCAAGACAAAAGTAATCAGATGAAAACCAGGTCTGTTTTTCTCTCCTTTTTAGTTGTGATAAGCAGTTTGAAGTATCCACGCCTCATTAAGATTTTCTATTTGCAGACATTGACGAGTGCCGTCTGAACAATGGGGGGTGTGATCATGTGTGCCGGAACACAGTGGGAAGTTTTGAGTGCAGCTGCAAGAAAGGCTACAAGCTGCTAACCAATGAGAGGACGTGTCAAGGTAAGTGACTTGAATCTATGCACTTTGCCTCTTCATTAAACAGTTTCCTGTGTCACCTGTCTCCAAAGCAGGAATCAAACACATTGTGTTATTTTGTATGGTAAGATGGTGTTTTGTAACGGTTCGATTGATAGACAGCACCAGTGTAGACTTCCCTTCTTCAGAGAACCCAAGGATGCTTCCTAGGTTTTTTGTCCTTTGTATTTAGTAGTACTCATGGCTTAACAGGAGGTGGATGGGCTGCAGAACAATTCATATTTTGCCATTGAAAGTCACAGGTGTGCACCATTACTGCTCTGGCTCTGGATTCTCCTCTGTCTTTCTTTTTTCGTTCCTGGGTGGATCAAGGCACTAGAGAACCACAAGCTGAAACGCATTCTAGGGGGGCTAGAACTGTGGAGCCAAGCTCAGCCTCTCTCCTAGTGGGAAAGCAGATGAGATGATTGTTTAAAATTTCTCTCTTCCTCATTGATGTGGTCAATCAATGCCCGGCCTGGTGCGCATCAGTGTCATGGAGCGGGACTAGAGTTGCTGCTCTGAATTACACCACTCTATGCACATTACCCCAACGTTGCATGTGGTGAATGAAATTTTGCACACTGTCATCGTGCTCTGCAGCCACTTTTTTTGTCTATTCGGATCTTTTGTTGGTAGTGTGCCACCCTGCGTTATTCGGAACCAAACAGTGTGAAGATTGTTTTGCCGCAAAAACAAAAAAAATAATGGAAAAAAGTGGTCTTTGCTGGTTGGAATATAAATCACAGCTTGCTTTCTGTGGCACCATGCCTGGAACAACTCAGCCATGTGCCGATTGGGTGCACGGGGTCAAATCTTTGATGGTGCTGTCCTTGTTTGGTCCCGTGTGTTGTGTCTGGGGACAGTGGTTGTGATAAAGCTCACCTCCCAAAGAGAGGTGTTGCCGAGCACACAGACATACTTGCGCCCCAAACTCTGCCCTGACCTTCAGAAACTCATTCCAATCATTTTCCCACTCCTCGGAATAGCAAAATAAAAGTGGAGCACCTTTTGAGTTAAATATTACATGACTTGGTTGTGGTCTGAGAGATGTACCATGACAGTTATTTTTGGTCTTTTATCCTTGTCATTGATGCGCTGGTTTATGATTAAAGAGGCTAACTGGAGATCTACAGCCAAAAACTAATTCAGATGGAAAAGAAGGACAAGGAAGATGTGAGCTTGTTATGGACATTTCAGGCAGAATCCACCCTGCGCTGCTCTCTGTTGCCAACAGCACATGGTTCAGGGGAGTTTGGAGGACAGAATGTCATAGGCAATGTCTTGAAAGCCTTCGGTTGAACTCCATTACTCGCATTGCATAATACATTATATATTAGCCCTCAGCAACAATCCGCCTGTCTCCCAAATCCAACCTGACATGCTAACTTGAATGGAAACCTTTTCCGCCACAGATCCTTCCTCCTAAAGTCTCAAAGGAAAATAGAAACTGTGCACAGGTATTTGAGAAAGACATTCAGCTGCATCCGCGTGTCCTTCATTCTGTCCTCCACGCTGTCTGGTTGGCTTATTTCTGTTGGCCACTGGGACATATGTCACAGCCTGAGCCTCAGCGGCACGCTCCATTTTGCCTGTCACAGCCACAGACCATCACCAATAAGAATTCTCACAAAGAGGCACTGCAGATGTTGTCTTCGGTACCAGTGAAAACAATCTTGAAAACAGTTCAGCACTCGGCCTACGAAGAAAATATAAACCCACTAGAAAACTCCATACACATCTTTTGAAATATCCATCTATCCACCTATTCATTGTCTACTGCTTATTGCCAGTAGGGTCATAGGGAGGGGGGGTTGGAGGCCATCCCAGCCGTTATTGAATGAGAGGTGGGGTAAACACTACAGGGCCAAACAGAGAGGAAAAACCACACATACTAACCCCTACGGTCAATTTAGAGTCTTCGATTATTCTGAAAAGCATGTTTTTGGACTGTGAGAGGAAGTCGCAGTGCATGGAGAGAAGGCACGCATACATGGGGAGAACATCTCTAAACTCATAGATTTGCGTCTCAGCGTAACGATCAACAATTTCTTAGTTAACTTGTTATTTTGCTAGCTAGCTCGCCATAACGATAAGAAGAAAGAAAAGAGAGAATCCAAAGTATGAAGTGGGGAATCTCACCACCCACCCAACAAGCAAGCCACAAAGTCTAGTCTTTGTAATCAAAATAGTTTCTGTCTCTCCTTTCAAGATAACTCTGATGATGCCACTATGACATCTCAAGGCTAATTGTCCAACAGATAAGAGGACCCAACTGGACTGTGCTTGCAGCCCTGGAGCTCCTAGTTTTATTGCTGGTGGCAGGTGCTTGGTTTGTGTCAGAGCATTCTGCTGAAACCGGCATTCGCCGTCTCCTCACGGTGTTGATATGTGGGACCTGAACTCTGGCTTTATCTTGGTTTAAACAGTCACGGTGTTTCTCTGCTGTCAGTGGGCCGTGGCGTATAAGTCAGGACGGGGCATGTCCGCTCTGCTCCTGTCGGCATTCCTCCGCCCACAACACCTCCCAGAGTCTCCTTCTCATCTCGCGTTTGCTCCTGATCCACATGAGGGCACTCAAGTAGATGTCCTTCAGATATGTTCTCTAAAGAGGGAACGTCACCGTGAGATAGAGGTCTTATCTGTTCCGTTGAAACAATAGTGACTGTCTCAGCCACCACCCGCGTTTGTTCTTTATTTTCCACTCGATTCTGGTGGAACTATTAAGAACAGGCAGAATGTAAAATGTGATTTTTGCTGCCTGTAATTCCTGTAATATTGTCATGTTTAAAATAGAAAACCGATCTATTCCACATGCTTCTGTTAAGATTCCAGAGGTCAAATTGGCGTTTTACCTTTCAAGAGCATTGAACTTCCTTAAAATGCAGGAGGCTCCGACAGACCATTGTAATTTATAGATGTCCAGCCAAATCATACCTGGTATTGTTAAATGTATTGTAAACAAAGGATTGATCTGATGTCAACATTAGTTAAAACTTTTGGTTTATTTCCAACTTTTGTCATTATTTTTTGTTAATATCCTTCAAATGTATTTTAATCATTTATTTGAGTCACTTACTATGATGTTAATCCCTGCTCATCTTTTAGCTTTTCTTTGCTCTTGTGACACACCTGCCAAGTAATAATTTAGCTGCTGTGTTCAGATGAACTGTCTGAAAAATATATCTATTGTGGAAATGTTAATGTGCTTTGAATCTCTATTTTACCGTGCAGGATTTGTGTAAACAATGATCAGTCTGTATTCCCGATTTCTTCACGACAGCCTGTTATTTAGCTGTTTTTCTGTAATTGCTTTGAAATACCTGCATTATAGATTTGATGGAATCTGGCACTTGGCTCATAACTCAGTGGGCTCAGATGTTGCAGATGAAAGCGTGATATTCCAATGAAAAGCACAGAAACCTTTTTCAAATGAGCCAGCAAAGTTATGGCACAGCCCCATTTTATCCCAGCTTGTGCTGCCTGGGCCTGGCCCAGACTCATGCTGACATTAAAGACACCTTGATGATTATGAAACTAAATGCCATCAGTCTCCAGTAAGGGTGCTGTATCAGTCCATGTGGTCTGTCAATCCGAGACATTTAAGACGTTTTTGGAGGTGCATGAGTAAGGACGGAACGAAAGCTGAAAAAGATAAGGTGGAGGCTACTGACGGGCAGGAGAGAACAGCAGGGCTGTAAATTTACAGGTGTGGAGAGGATAAAAAGGTCAGACAGATTCAGTGACACGCAATAAGTATCCAGACAGCTCAGTGAGCTTTTATTTTTACATTGATGTTGAGTCTGTGATCTTAACATGTTTTGTTTTTCTTTCACACTCTTGGGTCACCATTAATGGTTTGCTTGAAATAAGGAAAAAAGGAGCGTGATTGGCAGGTGGAGAAAAAGCAGCTTTTTTGGTCCCTATTATCAGGCGGAGAGAAGACCCTCCTTTGACTGCTGTGGCTGCCTGTAATTTCAAAAGCGTCATGCCAAAGGACCAAACAGAAGATGTCTTCCTTTTGAAAACACAATACATTTTTGTTGTGACGTGTGATGCGACCCGCTGCAATTCATGACAAATGATGGTTACTTTACACTGAACTGAAAACTCCACCAGAGAAGAGGCTCATTTCCAAACTGAGACAGGGTTTTTTTCTCTTGTGTAATTTCTTTCTCTCTCTGTCCGTCTGTGCAGATATCGACGAGTGCTCTTTCGACCGAGCTTGCGACCACTTCTGTGTCAACTCTGCGGGCAGTTTCCAGTGTCTGTGTCATAAAGGCTACGTCCTCTACGGCCTGGCACACTGTGGAGGTGAGCCCGCCCGCCCGCCCGCCTGTGCTCGTAAACCCCCACACATTACCTCCTCCTCTGCATCCACATCCCTTTCACCACTCACCTTCATGCTTAGTCAGAAAAGCAGCTCAGAGAGCAGCGGTGTGTGATGTGAAAGGGTGTTGTTCTAACATGCTGTGTCCTTGTGACAATTATGTTGGCCCATGTGTGCGTAATTTGCCTCGTGCTAGTGGAGGGGGACATATCAAACATTTCAACTTTGACAAGTAGAATTGATTAGGAAAACAAAAAAACTTTTTAACCTTTGGGAAATTTTTATTTTTGTGATCTTTTTTGTTGAAAAATGATAGCTTTTTCTTCATCTCCTTTCAGTCTGGTCTACAGCGTCTTTGCTCAGTGTGTCAGGCATGAAGGAGGGGCTGCAAATGCCACAAACAAAATTCTTCCCCTGTTTATTTGGTTCCAGCAGAATAAAAAAAAAAGGCAGGCAGATAGCCGTGGAGGAAAACATGGAGTTGAGCATTTTGGACCTTTGGCTGATGGCATGCTGTGACAGCTTATTTTGAAAGACAGATCACGTGGCAGACATGTTTTCCTGCCGCTGCGCCCTATAACGTGACTCCACATTAATAAGTCATTTGTTAGTAGGTGTGACCATTTAACATGGCAGTAGTGACTGAAATGAGCCGTGTTTCTTCGGCTTAATGAAAATGAAGACATGTCTGAGCAAGTCTTTATGTTCTGCTTGGAGTCATTGAAGGATGCACCCCATTAATGCGCAGTAAACCGGCTTCTTCTGACACACACTACATGCATTTTCCCATTCACTAAACACACCGTTTGTCTGTGTTTTAAAGACAATCTGATGAAAATTATACATTTTCCAGTGGTGGATCTTTCAGGTCGGCATTTTTTTTTTCCAAATCCATGATCAGTCTTGTTTTTTCTGGGGCAGTCACAAAAAGCGTCTGTAGACTTTAAGACAAAGCCTCATGCAAACCCTCAAATGATAGACGCTTACACACTGTAATCACTAGTATTCTGAGGCTACATCTGCCTCATTAGTTTTGAGAGTATCTGTGTTTTTACGTTGTGTGTAAGAATGAACTGTAGGAGCCAGCTTCTAACATTTTAACAAACAAACTAGATAACAGGTATGTAATTTACTGTGTTCCACCAATTCTCGCATGAAAGGTGTGAAAGCTTCCAATGGGTAAACTGTCAAAATATTAAAACGCTTTACCTCCCAGAATAAGAAACAACAGCTGCATTGTTTGAAAAAAATAAATCAAATTACAGAAATTGCTGTGATTCAGCCACCGTTCTCAGCAAGTTGATGTTTAGATTAGCGGAAATGAACAGAAATAGCCTGGGCCGCAGATCAGTGTTGTTTTAAAGAACATATGCCATGTTTTGGAGTGAGGATTGTAATACTGAATATTAAGAGGAGGCTTCTGGTCTTTTAGGTTGGTATATGCCCATGCCTATCACAGATTAGCAGCAGCTGTCTGAGCTCTGAAGCAGCAAGAGCCTTTGGTGTCAGGATTTGGTGGGCGAGGACATGTCAGATCTGCCAGAAGACTCGCCAGAGCACATCATGGTGTTTTGTGGCTGTTCTTTGATTGAGTATTTATCACCACTTAGAATCTGCTGCTGTCTCCAGGGCCTCAGGGCTTCACAGTAGTTGTGGGTATGTAGAGATGATTTATCCACTTGAAATATGCTTTTTTTTTTTTTCAAATAGTGTGTATCTAGTTTGACAGGTATGTTACTCAAGAATGTTTCTCCAAAATGTTTCACACTTAGAACATAAAATAGGTAAATGTACCAGTATTAAAAAAAATGTACCTTTACCAGCATATTGTATTTCAAGTTACAAACTGAAACAATGTGTTCAAGAGTCCCCAAAACATTATGCCATAAATCAGAGTGGACGAAATAAGCTGAACAGTCCAAGAGAATAAGCAGGTCCTCATTATGAGAATAAGAAATTAAGAACAGCTCTTGAATATTTGTTTGAGAATGAGCCTAAAAGGCTGTTGCACTGTTTGATTTTCCTCTGTTTACCCTCTGTATGTATTAGACACTCTTTTCCAGCTCTATTTGAAACACAGTTAATAGGTTCATGAGATCCATTCCATTCATCTGCAGATCTCAATGAAAGAAATAAACACCTCAGAGCTGGATTTGTGAGGATTTTGTTAGCCTGATAGACAGTGACAAGGCCAGTGAGGCGCCTAGAGGAGGGAAGATGGCCCAGCAGAAACATGGCTTTGTATACTGCTCTAGAATGACCTAGTGATGAATGATTTCACCTCACTTTTCAGCACTTCTGTCACAGCTCTTAGATAACCCTAAAGATTTATGGTCTTCTCTGTTGTACTTTCTTCACTTCTGGCCACAGCCAAGATTATGCTGTCCCCTATAAGGGTATACAGAAGCAAAAAGAGCAGCCAAACAGTCCAGAGAGCTGCGTTCAGTGTTAGAAAATAGACTCATCCTTAACAAACCTGTTGTGACCTGTTATTCAAGATCTGTGCCAAAGTCAATGGCATTTACCCTGAATCATTATATTTACCCACTCTTTGTCTAGCTTAACAGTCTACTTAATGCTGCTTGTCTGGTTAAATTCTATCCGTCAAGATTCGATTTAAACATGAATGCTTTGAAATGTTTTACTGTTCAGGTATATAACATGTAATCCCCCGAAAATGCCTGATTCAGGTGCAGAGAAGGGCCCCATTTGTGATCAGAGAAAGTGGCTTCTTTAAACCTCAGTTTGGGTGTTGTCTGCAGTGAGGGTTCCACTTGATTGGGCATACAAAATTAATTAAGATTTAAATACGATGACATTTCTATGAACTCGCCGACTCATCCAGAACCTCCTCTGCAATTTACCATGATGTCTAAATGTCAGTTTGTCTTCTTTCGCTCTGGCCTTTTCTCTCCTGGCTCGTCTCAACACTCTGTACGCTGGGTGAGCATGCAAAATGTTAGAATCAAGTAAAAGGAGACAGTCACTGGTAGATGAGCTCCTCTTCCATCAGATATTCATTAGAGTTCTTTGTCCTTTAAATGAAGTGCTCTGATGAGGAGGATGAGCAGCACATCCCTCACAAGATTTCCCGGCGGTTCTGGCTATTGATGAAGTCATTTTCTTCAGGGAGCGCATCAGCACCCAGACTGTTTATATTTGAGGTGACTAATTGAATGAGACAAGGAAGAGCTTTTCATATCAGCTGCCCGGATCATCAATCACCAGCATTATCTCCGTCTCTCTCCCGGTGTGTGTGCCACTTGTCCTCTGCCGGCTGAATGCTCGGCTTTGCTCTCTAAACGGATTTTCTGTCTGGCATCGATTGCAGCCAGACTGCATCTGGATACCGGATGCTTTTAGTGGTTTTAGCTCAGCATGTGTTTGAAAAGGTGATTATAATTTACTGCTTACCACAAGTCTTCCTCCCGGCAGAGCGGAGAAACTCTGACCATGACGTTGAATGTGGGTGACATCAAAATGAGAACTTGCTCCTTTTTTTTGTTTTACACGCAAACACATTAATCCTCGTGTGCTGCGAGGCTCTGACAGAATGAAAAGAGCACCTTATTAACAGCTGTTCAGTTTCTCTGTGGACCTGTCTCTTTTGCGTTCAGCTCAGAAATACTGATTTTGGATTATTTTGGATCGTTCATATTGTCTTTAAGAATGATATCTTATCTTTGCCTAAAGAAAATAAGTCTGTACCTGTTTTTCTAAAACAAAACGGGTGCATGAAGTCGGCCTTTTAATGCCTACCTGAAACATGTCTTCACAGATATTAATGAGTGCAGTATAAATCGCGGGGGCTGTAAGTATGGCTGCACCAACACTCTGGGGAGCTACGAGTGTACCTGTCCGCCGGGGTTCAAGCTCCACTGGAACAAGAAGGACTGCATCGGTATGTAACAACACTGCCCTCATGTGGTCCAGCCACTGACACGCGTCACCCGTCTCGCTCTATTCCTGAGGGCCCTCTGTCTGCAGCCCGCCATTCAGAGTGGCTTATATTTTCTATCAGAGCTGGTGAAATGTACTCCGGGACTGGTTGCACCAAAGGCCACGCTGACCTGCAGCAAGACGGGAAAAAAGGAGAGCTGCTCCCTGACCTGTGCTTCCAAGGCCCACTACCTAGCAGGTATGCTTCCCCCCCCCCCCCGTCTGACGGCAGTAACAATCAAACAGGCGGTACAAACTTTCCGAAATGACTCGGCTTCTGCTTACGTTGACAGAGTCCGACAACAGCTACTCAGTGAGTTGTGGAATCCCTGTTCTGAGAGGAAAGTCCCCCGCCCGGCTGAACTCCAGCAGCAGTCAGAGCTGCATAGGTTTGTCGCCCGTCCAGCTTCTTTCTTTGAGCCAGATTCTCTCCCAGAGTCAGCGCACATCTGTGTCTGTAGTGGTAGCAGCATGATGCCTCCGTCTCCTCCCACCCACGGGGCTGTGTTTGTCTGTAGAGACTTTGGCGCCGCCAGTGAAGCAGACAGCGTCTTTCAAGATTAAAAACGCTAAATGTCACCTACACCCGAAGCTGAACGGCAGGACGGAGGACAAGGGGCGCACGCTAGGACCAGGTGGGTGGCCAGTTGGAATTTGCTACTAAACTAGAATTTTTGAGAATGAAACAAAGAGAATGATTCACTTTTAAATGAGGAAATTGCCCCTTTTTAAAGCTCCCAAAAATGGGGTTCACTTTATATATGATATAATGATTTAAATCCCATATTTACTGTAAACTAATTTATGCGTACCATTTCCAATGGTCGGATGTGGTAGACGTGGACAGAAAAAAAGGGATTACAGCATCTGTTGCTCCAAAGAACGGATGAATCACTGTGTGTGTGTGTGTGTTTGCACGCGTCAGCCTCCATGTGGAAGTTGCTCCTGTCATGTGCATCTGTGCACATTCATAGCTTTTGAACTTTGAGCTACTATCAAGCCAGACGGTTTCTGTTCCCTTTACTCAAACAGTCATGATTTTAAAAAAGAAATATCTGGATTCAGCGAATCACCGGTCCAATTTTTCCACTTCACCACATCCCATTTAGAATCAACTCAGGCAGACCCTTTTTGATTTAGCTCGTTCACGTTTGAGCTTGAAATTGCACATGCAGTTACACACTGTGCTCACTGACATTTGCTTCTCCATTTTGTTTTAAATGTGGGATTCCAAGGGTAAAAAATCTCTTTCCACACAGTTGTAGTTTAGTGTGGGATGAACACAGCCATTTCTCTGTGTGGCATAATCAAGATTTTCTAAATATATAAAAGACTATATTAGGCATGGATGACTAAATGAACAAATCTTACCACTTCCCTCTCCTGAGACACTCTCTATGCTCCACAATTGTTTGTTTGTTTCTTGTTTTATTTAGCTTTAAACCTAATTCCTAGTTGCACAACTGTCTTTTACTACCTCCATACACATAATCTAACTGAAACAAAACTCAAAGAAATGATTACTTATTGTTTGTTTATTGCTCCATATCTAAACTATAATTACGTCATTACAACCTGCCATTATATCTGTTATTTTTACAACTCGGTTAGAGACTGAGAACTATAGATTTATCTAAACATTTGTCAGTGTAATAAATGAATGCAGCAAAAAAAAATCAATCATTGCAGCTGTAAATAATTGCTATAGTTGGACTTCTACCTTTTAGTCTCAAAAGATGGAGCCCAATTCTGAATTGTACATGCCTGTAAATAACAATGTGTCCGCAGGAGGGGGGCAGCCTTGCAGCAACTGCCTGGTAACATTTGTCAACCTCAAATGTGACTCCTCCAAGAGAGCCAAAGGGAGACGTGCACGAAACCCCTCTAACAAAGAGGTAACGCGCATTACTCTGGAGCTGGAAGCCGAAGTCAAACCCGGAGACACCACAGGTCAGTCTGCTCTCTTCCTGCTTGCGTTCAGCTCAGCGTCATTTTTCTGAGCGGTTTTAACCTGATGTCTTCTGTGTTGGGCAGGGAGCTGCAACCTGAGCTGCCTGCGCCAGCGCATGGAGAAGCAAGTCAAGACCTATATTAAGGCTTTAAAGAAGTCCATCAACCAGGAGCGCTTCCTGATTCGAGTGGCCGGTTTAGAGTACGAGGTGGCTCAGAAGCTGCCCCAGGCCGCCCCCATCCAGGAGAACTGTGGGCCCGGCTCGGAGAGGGACAGCGGACGATGTGGTAAGACCAGAGAGCTGTCCACCAGCAGTTTCTGAAGGGCCCAAAAAAAAGAAAGCGACCATTTTTCCTCCTTCAAAAGCCATCACTGAAAATAGCTCCTGCATTCAGAACACGAGCATCTGCGTGGAGGGTTTTTCTGTCATCCGTCTTCCTTCGGGAGCTTAAAGCGAGTGCTGGTCTCTGACAGCAGCCATTGTGGCTCTTCTCTCAGTTAGATGTTTGCCGGGGTCCTACTACCACGGGGAGCAGGAGCGCTGCGTCCAGTGTCCGCCCGGGACCTTCCAGGAGAGAGAGGGGCAGCTGGCCTGCGACCTCTGTCCGGGCAGCGACGGCCACGGCCCCACCGGGGCCCGCAACATCTCCTCCTGCGCCGGTAGTTGGGGGTAGTTTGGGGTAGTTTGGGTTAAAGGGGAGGAGCTGCCCTCATTGGCAAACCTGATGATTTTGTCCTTTGTGATCCAAACCCAGGCCAGTGTCCAACAGGATACTTCTCCAGCGATGGTTTCAAACCCTGTCAGCCCTGCCCTCAGGGCACCTATCAGCCGGACCTGGGCCGGACCCTGTGCTTCCCCTGTGGGGGGGGGCTGAGCACCAAGCGGGAAGGTGCCAGTTCCTTCCATGACTGCGAAGTCAAAGGTCAGCTGGACCTCTTTGTGGTCTATTCCTACTCAAGTATTGTACTCAAGTATTGCTCCAGACTTCATATTTGATTTTTTTTCCGTATCCACCACATAGTTCAGTGTTCTCCAGGTCATTACTACAACACCACAGTCCATCGGTGCATCCGCTGCCCGGTGGGCACCTATCAGACAGAGTTTAGACAAAACTACTGCATTTCTTGCCCGGGAAACACCACCACAGATTTCGATGGCGCTACAAGTGTCTCGCAGTGCAAGAGTGAGTTGAAGGTCTCCCGTTTCCTGCCTCTTCGTGTGTTTGACGTGAGCCTGAATGGAGTTTGGTTTCCCTTGCATATGTTTAGACAGGCACTGCGGTGGTGAGATGGGCGAGTTCATGGGTTACATCGAGTCGCCCAACTATCCCGGCAACTACCCTGCAAACGTGGAGTGCACTTGGAACATCAACCCCCCCAGCAAACGCAAAATCCTAATCGTGGTCCCGGAGATTTTCCTGCCATCAGAGGACGAATGCGGAGACGTGCTGGTGATGAGGAAGAACTGTAAGTGAGACTTCCTCCGGTGGCGGACTTTGACGTTTTCATAAATAACGAAGCGTAGCTGAAACCGTGACCACTGTTACTGTGTGTGTGTCACTGCAAGGGTCAGCTACGTCCATCACTACCTACGAGACGTGTCAGACGTACGAGCGGCCCATAGCCTTCACAGCCCGCTCCAGACGCCTGTGGATCAACTTCAAGTCAAACGAGGCCAACAGCGCCAGAGGCTTCCAGATCCCCTACGTTACTTATGACGGTGTGTGGCATCATAAATCATCCCGTTATGCAGCACAGGAATGAAAGTGTCCCAGCATCTGCCCAACTGGATAAAAGATTACTGGTAGTGTGCATATCATCAAAGGAGTCAGATTTATATATTTCCACAGTCAATTTGTGGGGATTTTTTCCTGGCAAATTACATTAGTCATAGATTGAGCAGTGTTTGACCTATTGAACATTTTTTTAAAGATGCACCCTAAATATAGTGGAAGTGTCTCTGTGATCACAGAAATAAACCAAATGATTCAGTATTAAATGTCGATATTATCAAGCCAAAATTTTGCATTTCATCACTGCAGGCAACTTTAAAGACAGTTTCTTGGCTTTTTGGTCCACTTTAAGCTTTGCATATCACGCCACACCCTTTTACATGAGTCTGGTGAATAAGCAGGCTTTTAGCTTAACATCTCAGAGTTTAATCTTTTCTCTCGAAAGTGTCCTGATATGTGTTTATCGAATGACTTCTGAATGTCACTTACTCTAAACGACAAAAGCCAAACCTGAAATTGTTTAATCAGCCTTTTTCATAGCATTCTAGTAAGCAGCAACAATAGAACAGCTGACACGTGAAAAATAAAGCACTGATCAACGTGTTAAAATGCAAAGATCCATTGACTGCTTGCCTTTGTGTGCCTGTTACTTTGGCACATATCGCATATTTAAACACTATCACAGAGCAAGTGCATGTCTCCACGGCAACGACACTCCCTTCCAGCGCAGAGCCGTGCCCCCCGACACACTCCAACAATCGCTGAGGAGATGATGACATGACCTCTAAACTCCCCCGATCCCAATTCTATGGAGTGTTTAACAATCAGAGCCCCCACCAGAGCGAGGGAGAGGCAGACTGCGTTTTGGTGACTCAAAGGTGTTTGTAGAACATTAGGCAGTCCTTTTGACGATCAAAAAGTTGGAAAATGATCGTCATCATTACGGGGAAACTCTGACGACGAAGGTTTAACCTTAATCTCTGCACATAAGAGACTTTTAATGTTCTGACATAGCTTTTTCTTCCCATCAAATGATCTGGAACATCCCATTAGGCAACAGCAAAATGTGGATTAGCCTGCGGTTTGAAACGCAGACAGCCATCGACTTGTTTTGGATATGCATTACATATTTGCGGCGCGCTATAAGGCACGTTGCGTAATGATGTCTGGTGCTGTTTTTGTGAATGCAGAGGACTATGAGCAGCTCGTGGAGGACATAGTGAGGGATGGAAGGCTCTACGCTTCAGAAAACCATCAAGAAATCCTCAAGGTCAGAACAGCCTGCTTCTCATCTTCTTCCAAATAAATTAAATTAATAATGATGATAATTAATTATCATTTTTAAAGCAATTTTAATTCATATTAGTGAGCATTTCAATTATTTGACATTCACTGGTTGGTTTCTGCATGTGACTATCTTAAAACACACATAATCATATTCAGTGATGAGGTTGTACATTCAAGTGGTTTTATTGTTTAGCTTTGAGTGAGTGATTGGCATCTGTGTGTTCTTCCCGCAGGATAAAAAACTGATTAAGACTCTTTTCGATGTGCTGGCCCACCCAAACAACTACTTTAAGTACACCACTCGGGAGTCCAACGAGATGCTTCCCCGCTCCTTCATTCGTCTCATAAGCAGCAAAGTGTCTGCTTTCCTGCGGCCCTACAAGTAAAGTCCACCCTGCTGCTGACCACCTGACAGCCCCCCCCTCTCCTCCACACCACCCCCTTAAAAGCCCCCCCCACACCTTACAATTTTCACAGGACTTCCAAAAACACAAACCTTACCTAACCCTAACCGTATTTACCGTTTTTTTTTTGCATAGGCTTTTGAAATAAAAACAAAACGAAACTTAGAAACCCCGAGAAATAAGAAAACGATAACTGCTTTTAGGTTTACTTTGTCAGTTTCCATCCAGCACAGTTCTGCAGTCCCGAGCTCAAGCATCTAGCGGGAAGGTAGAGTATGCAAGCGTGTTAAGTTTCTGTTGCAATGTGCAATGAAACAAAAAACAAAAAAAACTTTAAAAAAAAAGACAAGAAAAAGCCTATTTCTGTAGGAGTGACATTTTGTGTATGCGGTTTGAGCCTGATAGAGCTTGTTGTTGTATCTGCGTAAATGAGCAGTGCGAGCTCCAGTTCCTACAATTAAGTATGAGTGTAAGTGTTGTGCAAGTGTTGTGTAACTAATCCCATTTTCAGTGTCTGTGTGCTGTCCTCGAGGAGGAGCAGTTGTTAAATTAATGTCACAGCTACATTCCAGGTCCTTCAAAGCCCGACTATATTTGAGCTCTTAGAGCAATTTCCAAGGGTTTTACTGTTAAAACAGTTAATCTGTGTTTTGCTCTGTCTGTTTAGACTGTACCAGTGTTTCCCAACCTTCAGATATTTTCCTTTGGTCTTATTCATGCCAACTCAAAGCAAACACAAAAATGTGGTTTACCATTCCATGGACCCAGAGGACATTTTGGAGATAAATAGTTGTGAGAGCCCCAGAGATGAGATGATGTGATGTCTGGTGGAGCTTGTCTCAAAGAGTGCGAGAAATGTCTTTGATGGACATTATGTTTGCTGCTTCTTTTAAAAGGTCACTTTAATTCTTCAGTCTCATTGTCTTTCTGATGTACTCAACACACTTATAATCTGTAGGTTTTAAGAAAAAAAGGGAACCTCCGAATCTGAGAATTACGTCTGTTCTTAATCCATTTAAAGTTGATAATCTCTCATTATCCATCTGTGGACTACCGATTTTGTTGTTTTTATTTCATTCTTGTAAATAATGAAAGCAAGTTAGACGAGGGTGGAATTCTTGAATCCTGATTTACTTATGCAGGAACCCCCCCCAAAATAATCACTTTTCTGCCCCCTGATGTTCTTTCCATTTGAAAATAAAGAAAACCCCACACCCACCCCCCCCCCCCCCCTCTCACATTTTGTGAAGACAGCGTTTCCAAAGACTGCTCAAAAGGGGTGGCTCAAGTACTTTTGTGCACTAGATTTAAAACCTGCCATCCCACAGTTTTAAAAGTGCAATGAATTAAACTAGCTCTCTTCATTTCCTGTTACGCCCTGTTTAGACCCACAAGGACACTTGCAAAATGTGTTTTGGGCTGCACTTTTGCAGACTGTATCACATATTTAACAATCACCATGGGTGGAATATGTTTAGTTTAAAACACATTTAGTCCTAATAATCTGGAAAAAAGTATATTAGTTACATGCAATGAAAAGAATTTGGTGTATTAAACAACTTTGACTGAAGAGTAACTAAAACAGGGTAAGACAAGAATTCAAATTGAACAAAAACCTAACACTTGGTTTATGTTAGATGTATTAGAGAGTCCAGTATTTGGGGAAATATGATCATTTGCCTTTGTGTCGAGAGTGTTAAGAACGTTAAATAAAGGGGGGGTGGGGGTCTGTCTGGCTTTATTCAGAAACAGTAACCAGCTGCAGCCCTGAAGTTCACAAACACATCATCTGTGTGCAAATGACACATTTTTGGGGCTGTGTATCAGATTGTTTCTTGACCTGGCACTGTGACTTTCTGAAGTCCTCACAGATGCTCTCTGCTTTAAGGGAAGACACAAATTTCCTAAAGTATATGAGGATGTTCCTCTCACGTCCTCCCCATCATGGACCTACATGTACTTTGAAGCGTGCCCTCTTGTATCTAGGATGTTGTGTTCCATATAATGTAAATAAAAAGAGATGGGATGGGACACCACATGTCACAGACTGTAATGGACGACACAAAGGGAATTTATCTAACTTGAGGGTGCTGTTGGGGCAATCAATTCATAGCAATTTAATGTTCCTCTGTTCACATCTCACATCAACTTCAGATACATATCATCATCTCTACGTGGATATCATCACCCAGCATCCCAGTGTGCTCACGTGACCCTCATTCCCAACGCTCCCCCTGCTCCTTCCACCTGAATCACCCTCTTCCTGCAGCCTGATTTTTTTTTTGTTTAATTGTTGCCTTTTAAGAGTTTGCTATGATGTATCGGAGTTGATAATGATATTTGCACTTGAATTGTTATTGCTCATGTAAAGAAATGTCTGAATTTTGTACTGTCTTTTTAAATGAATGGAATCGGTGTTCTTATTTTCTTGCAGCTTGTTTGTCCATGAGATGCTCACTCATCCTTTAGTTTATAGAGATGATACGCATTATTGACTGTAAAAAAAAAAACTAAGAAAAGAAAAAAAAACATGTACAGAGGTGAATGAAACAGGTTTGTACTTGTTACTCCCCAAAACACTTATCAAAAATAAACATTCTGTACTTCAGTTTCATTTTAAATATATATTTTAATGTCTGTATACTGATGATAAACAAGTATTAGAAACAAAATATATTGTAGTACATTATTAAAGAATGATCTTTCAGTATTAATTTTGGAAGAAATGCATTTTTAGCTTAGAGATTACTTTCAATCTTTACAGACTGAATATTGAGCATTGGTTGAATATTGTGGTTTAGGTCCCTCATTTAGCCCCTAAAATATGCTGGATATGCTGGAGGGGGGAAAAAAAAAACAAAAAAAACAGGAGCAGGTTATGATGGCAAAATCTGTAACCTGTAGTGCGATGTTAGCAATATGTATTTATTACTTACACTGACGACACTCGGGAAGAGAAGGTGTCCACTGGCCTTCACTGCTGCAGACGATAGAGTGACGCCCACTGATGGTGAATCCCCTCTCACATACAATCGTTAAGGTTTCCATAGGCTGAAATCTTTGCCTATGGGATCCAATCCAGAGGCCATTGCGCACATTTGGTGATGGACATGTTATTTCTTGGGAAAGATAAAGCCACCCTTTTATATTTTAACTGCCATGAACAGGGAAAACGTACATAATTCTTTTTTTTTTTTAAACTTCTAGTTAAGTAGTAACAGGGTCCTGCACCTTTGCACTCTGGAGGGGCAGCACTCCATGTCCCATTCTCTGTACACCAGATCTCCTTTGGCCCAACCAGCGTTCCCGAACGGCACTCGTAGCTGATCACACTTCTGTAGAGGTATGGTGTCTCACCATAATCTTTCCTTTCTGCATTCGTAACTTGCGGTTCTGGACAATCCACAGCTGCAAGAAATAAAACAGATTTAACAGGGACTGATGGCGTCACATCCCGTGGGACTGTTGGTAGACCTCATATTCACCTTCACACACGGGGACACGTCCATCCCAGTCATAATGCATGCAGTGTCTGGTGGCTTTTCCAACTAGTTTAAACCTGAAGAAGGAACACAATTCATTTTGAAATCAAAACGGTTAAAGAAATGAAGCGCTAATATTATTATTTCACTTTGTCTTACCCATCATTACAAACGGCTGTGGCAGTGTCCCCAAACATTACTCCGGTATAAAAAAACAGTCCGTTTTCTATTTCTCCCGCATTTCCACAAAAGGTCCCTTTTGATAGCAGGAAAACAAAAAATCATAAAATAGTTTTGAACTTGCTAAATATAGTTCATATAAGTTTATGTTGGAAAAAAAGCCTTGAGGACTTCTGACAGTGTGGTACATTTTAAAATACCTGGTGTTTCTGCTGACTAAATGTCACTACATGAGTCTTCTCTGGTCATCACAACAAAATGACTATGTAGACCTATAAACACTTTCCATGGAAATTACTTGACCAATAAAAAGACAAGAACTCAATTTGTAGCACATCAAAAAATAAATATAATGCTCCTTCACCAGCATACCATTTAAGTGAATAGACAGATGGATATTAAAGAATCCACATGGAGAATAAAAAAAGTTTAACACATTTCCAAAACCATGAAATGGGAGACAAACGTGAGATTCATTTGGGCAGTGAATGGGAACTGGACCTTTCCTTTCTTCGTAAAGTTTTATATATATATATATATATATATATATAGAAGAGACTTGAATGTGAGGGAAACAAATGTTCTTACGTTCACAGTTCATCTTCAGCTCTGTCCACTTTCCGTTGTTGCACATGCGCATCTTGCTTCCTCCTGCTGGAAAGTATCCGACCTCACACATGTAGTACACCCTGTCCCCAGAGGAAAAGGACGCCATGGTGATGTACTTATCGGCCAGGTGGGCATGGGGGTCCCTGGCGGGGGGCGGGGCACCGCATCCACCTTCTGGGCAAAGGGGAATTTGACAGACTTTTAACTCTATGAAAAAAAGGGTGAGCGAGGGCCTGATGGGCAGCCCGGCGGAAACAGGCGCTCACTGTCTGGGCTGGGTGGCGTCTGGGTTTTAGTGGGCGACGGCAGACATCGAGGAGGCAGAGGCTGCCACAGCCCTTCCTCCCCGCAGGTCATCTGTGCGGCTCCCTGCAGCTGGAAATGCTTTTTGCAGCTGACCTTTAGGCTGTCCCCCACCCGGAACACTGAGGGGTCTCTGAACGTCTGCACCGAGTTCTGCACTGCTGGGTGGGAGCAGGTGACTCTGCTCCAGCCCTCTGAGGAGAAAGCAATCTTAGCAATTTAAGGGGAATTTCATTTCCTCCCAAGCACAAAATCACGACAATCAAAAGGAACACTATACCAACGCTATATAGTCGAGGGTCAAAGCTTTTCCATACTGTTGGGTTAGCAGATATAAATCAATTGCATCACAGTGTTCTGTTTTAGGGGCTACAGCTGTCATTCCACAAAACCTGAAAAATGTCCAAACAAATCCTCAGGCCTTTAACTGGATCAAAATGACCACATACCGATGACTTTCGGGTGAAAAGCTCAGACATTATTTCACAATGCTATGGCTAAGGTGGAAAACATGTCTAGAGGATTAAGGAAAACCACGTCGCATGACGGCTTTTCTTACTCATCCTTAACCACACCTCCTACATAGAATCATGACGCTGCCCCCACGGGGTGTCAGGTATCTAGCCCGAAACTCTTGCTCACCTATACAAGATGGAAATTCACCAGTCCACCCAGATGCTTTGCACGTCATGAACCCCTTTCCTCTCAGGGTGTATCTGTTGGTATGGAGATACAGTTAAGGACACAGACAATCTCCTGGTCTTATGTGTTACACAGGGTCTTTGAGGTAAAACTCACCCGCTGTTACATGTGGCATAAACTCTCTCTCCTATGTAGGTCTCCCCTTCGTAGTGGAGCTGCCCATTGGGCAGATCCCCAGCGTTGCCACAGGTGCGCACTGTTAGAAATTAGAGGGAGAAATGCCGCCGTCAACCTCATGAAAACAATCCAAGTCAGATTGGCATGCACACAGTTTAAAAAAGAATAAAGCAAAGCATAAGTAGTGTTTAGAGCAAACCCAACTTTCCAAATTGAGTCACAAGTGTGTGGATGGTGTCATATAGATGTGTAATTTCTTTCTTGAATTAGGAACTGAAACGTGAGCAGTTACAAGCCCCGTGCTGTGGGGTGAGGTCAGCAGTTTCTGTCCCATCGCAGGGTCCTTGAGCAAAACTGGTTTGCGTCTAATGCCGATAAAAACACCCAGCGGGTATCATTTATCAGTCTAATCCGCTCTTCTAGTCTTACTCAGAGCAGAACTGGAGGGGAGCTGTAAACTCAACAAGTAAATCACAGGGAGAGCGCACAAAGTAGTTCAAAGCAAAGCAATGCTTTGCAAAGGGGAAAAAAAACTATTGGAATTTTCATTTTTTAAATTTTCTTGCATTCTTTTTCAATTAATTTTTTTTTTAAAGCTCAAAATGTAAATTGAAAAAGGAATGTTCCTCACACATTTCTACAAATCACTAAATAAATCTGATCAGAAATCAGTTTGGGGATTGGAAACAAAACTAATTGTCTGTAAGAGTTATTTCTGTTCTTTTAATCTTTGGAATATACCTTTCGACGTAACCATGAGCACACAGTGAGGTTGCAGTAGCATATATTCCCTGAATCTTGCCTTTGGTTTTATGAAAGCGTGAACAACTTCATACTTTGTCCCCGTTTCTGCCGTTTAAAGAGTTTCCCTGTTGTGGTCGCCTGCAGAGGGCGCCTAGAAGCCCCTCCAAATCCTCCCATTAAGTTTAAAACACAGCCGTGGAGCAGCGTTGTCCAGCGGGGCTCTTACGCTTGCACAGCAGGGTCAGCTTGGTCCAGCTCCCGTCCAGGCACTCCACGTCCCTCCGGCCCCCGGCGGGGGTGAAGTCCTCCCGGCACCCGTACTCCAGCCGGGCCCCGCTGCTGAACCGCTGCTGGGGGGGCACTTTCCTCACCAGGCTGGCGTTCTGGTACTCCACCGGCGGGGGGCATTTCCTATCACCCTGAGCTGTTTTTTTTCGTTTGTTTGTTTGGCAAATAAACAAAACACCAGTCAAAACCTCGAAGTCAGAGCGCCTCTTTCCGCTCGTTGGTCTGTCTGAACGTACCTGAGACGAGCAGGGCGAGCGGGAAGAGCAGAATAATCCCTCCTGAGGTCCTCATGTTCTCACCGTCCCTGGGAGAAGTTCTAATGCCGGAGGAAGGATGGATGGAGCCATTTATAGAGGGAGGCTGGCACAGCCCCACGCAGCCGCTGGGTGGATGAGCAGAGAAGACACTGACACAGACAAAGCACACGTTTTTTTTTTTTTTTGTTAGGTCAAGAGGGAGGAAAAAATGACAAGGAAAACTTCCGATCAAGGCCAAACTGAACTAGTAAGAGCTTATCTTACCGCTCCACTAGAGGAAATAAACGATAAAAACGTCAAATATTACAAAATATGATAATATAACCAGTTAGAGAGATACACTTAGTCAAAACCAAAAGTCTAAGACAACAACTTTAAGTGGGGAAAGGAAAATAACGCCTTCATCTCAAGGTAGATATGGGGCATCATGGCCAGGGGAAGTGTATGATTTGTCTTTTTTTTTTTAACTGTATCAGAATCAGAAATACTTTAATAATCCTGGTAATGTCACAGATAGTGTTGTCATGGAGCCATTGCACAGTGTCTGGGAGGGGCAGACAGACACACCTTTAACAGAGAGCAAAATAATTAGTACAGAGTTTCTGTCCACCAGAGTAGCGGCTGCTCTCTGTGACTGCTGTGAAGAAGGCAAAAGAAGTTTTTCTTTTGCCTATCCAGATAGCCCGAGGGTTACCAGCTACTGACTTCCTACAGCCACGAGTCTTGTATCATATATCTTTTTAATGACCTGATGTTATCAGTGGTTGACTGTTTTAGGGGGCTACTGTTGGGCCATTTTATCATCTGGTTAGTAGTTAGGCTGAAGGGGAAGATCAGTCAGTGTTGAACACACCGGCCATGTGAGGACTCCAGGTACAAGCCATGAGAGATAGCTCTGACACACACCCCGACACACACACATGCATGGGAGCTCATAGGCTGGAATAGTGTAAATAGTGACACCTGTGGGCTTGAAGTCCCAAAGTCACAGCCTGACTGTCCCACTGGTCGTGAACTTCCATATCCTGCCAGAATAGATCGGTGATGACCAGCCAAACGGACATTGCACTGGTCGATGGTGTGTTAGAGGTAGCAATCCTACATCCAAAATAAAGAGGAAGGAACTCTATAAATACAAGCGACGGAAAGAAGAAGTGTAAATGAGGTGGGAGTAGGAAGCAAAAGTGGTGCCAGTGCTAAACGGAGCTGTCAGGTCGGACCCCCAAACTGGGGACAGACCCCAGGACCAGCATCAGACCTCTGCCCAGAGGACGGGGGGGGAGATCCAGACACAGTGAATCCTCCCACTCCCAGACTCTGGCAGAGCAGACGGATTAGACTCAGTCAGTCTTCGCTGTCTGTGAGGTTACTGTATCCCATCTGAAGGCAATTGGTTCGCTGACTTTCACTGTGAAGTGATTGCTTTTGTTCACTCCCCACCTTGCACTGACACAAAAAAATTGAGAATAGAGATGTCAAAAACTAGAGAAGTGACTGTTAAGGTACTATCATTGTAAACAAAAATCTCAGAAAAGCGTTAAATTCAAAATAATGTATTCAAACTGCAAACTAGCAAAGTTCCTAGTGAGAAAAAAATCTTTATCTGCAAATTAAAAGGGCGATATAATCATCAGGCTGCCCTTACAGACAAAGTAATGCATAGTTTAAGCATTTAATACATTCCCAAGCTCCCATCTTCTGATACATTAGAACAAATTTTCCTTCCCAAAAGGATTTAAACTTTTAATCAAACCTGTCATGACCACAGTTGTCTTGAAGTTCAATCTAATGACATCAGAGTAATTCACCTGGATATGATCAGACAAAATATAGTAAAATCTACTTTCAAACTTTTTTTTAACACATGAAACAGCAAAACGAAAACATTCTTTGTTGTTCAACACACTAGTTATTTTTTTATTAATGCAATTTTTAATTTCTTGTATCTCAGTTGACTCATACAAAGGCCATCATAAGAGATTAGCATGTCAAAAAGAACATTGTTACTGTTGAAATAAAAGAAAAGGTAAAACTTAATTTTCTCAAATGAAATGTGTGTGCATTAAACAATTTATTTAAGACATTTAAATATATCACAAATCCTTCAATTCAAGGGCAGCATCATTTAGCTTATACTGTCTGGAACTGTCTTTGTCTACTGGGTTTAGAGACCTGTATTGAATAAGGGCACTTCTCCAGAGGACTGATTTATTCCTATTGTAAAAATCAAAGCCAATTGGCTAAATCTCACCCATTTGCATTCCAATAAAATAGATGATTAAAACTTAACATTTCAGGTTCAGCTGAGCTCTTCTGTTGAATCGGCGTCTCAATGTGTTCGGTAGGGATTGCATTCACTCCAAAGTGAAAAATAGAAATGTTCTTTGAAGATAAAATACATTCCTCTTAAAGAAAAATTACAGTAGCTCCTGCACTTTTTAAAGGGTCAGACAGAACATTTCATTTAACTTTACAGCTGGTGTCCACCCAGTAATTTGATGCGGTTAAATAACATTTTGAAAGAGAATGGGACACTTGTTTCCCCCTGTCAGATCTCCAGAGGAAGGATACACATTAACTGGGAATGTTTACAGTAGAGAGTGAATATCTGAGCACAAACCCAAGGCTGAGCATGGATTCATTCGTTCAGCAGCTCTTGCACATTAAAACTGAAGGCATTAAATGGATCCTAGGTATAAAAGTCACAATCAACACATTCTATATCCTAAGTTGTTTCTACATTGTATGATGTGAGACTTTTCTACAAATCTTTGATTTGTATATATGGTGTAATATTAAAAGCAGCATTTTGTTCATTTAAATGCATACAAACATGTGCTGGAGCATATGTTGGGGTAACATATTCCGGGTTATACAGTGTGGGACACAGGAAATCAATGGCTGTATTCTACTGGTGACACACCCCCTTGGAGAGAAGCCTGCTTTAAAAAGCAAAGCGAAGGAGTGGGATAACTAACAAAACTTAGTTTGGTGCGGTAAAAGAAAACACGTGTTCAGTTCTTCAGAAAGCCCTCTGCGTCTTCACCACTGAAGCCGTTCAGGGGGTCCTGTCAGATGGGGTAAAAAAAAGGAAGGGAGAGAAAGTGACTGCATTAACAAAAACTCTGAGCCATAACAGGAACGAGGCCCTTGTTTTGACTGGCACGGGCCGATCTTGAGCTAATATGGAATTCTGCGGTCGGAAAGCAGAGCGAGACGTTTTCTCTGGCCCTGACCACTATTAAAAGCCCAGACATGTTAATAAAGGTCACTTTTTGGACAACATTATTAATGGAAACCTCAAAGTATATGACTTCCATCCCAGGATGTTTAAACATGTTTGCAAATGGGCTTTGGGTGAATATTCTGTTAATATTTCCGTACACAGCAACAGACTGCTCTGTCTTGTTCTCCACCAGGCACCTGTCTATGAAGGATGGTGTTTTTATTCTCTTCTTTTTGGATTTACTCATCTCTGGATGTCCTTTTTACAGTTCTTTTGCAGGCAAACAGAGAAGCTTATAACAGTCCATTAAGTCTAAGTAGGAAGTGTGTGTGACAAAAAAATCACGACTACTACCATTGTAAAAATAAATTAATTACAAGTTTAACTCTGACAAATGTCTGTAGTCAGATATATATAATAATGCGTGGTGGCTCATTAGCCTTTAAGAAAAATCATGTAGGCAAGTAGGTGACCATTATTGGTCTGACTTCTGGATTTTGCTGCTGCTGAAGTTGACGAACAGGAGCTGAATAAACAAGCTCCCTGAGTTTGCCTAATCATTTGTTTATTCCCATTTTTGAGCAGTCTCAACCATTTCCGGCCTCTTTGGTCCACATAAATTTGTGATAAATGGTCTTACTCATAGATTCAGGCTAGCTACTGGTTACGGTCAATGGATTTATCCTGTTGACGTTTCACTCCTGCTTCCTGACTTATAGTAAGTGTCACATCTGGGATTGGAACTGACCTCAATTTGTTGCAGCTCAACCCCCTCAAATTCATCAGAGAACGGCATTGTGGGTAAAGTTGGAGCATGGGCCACTCGGCAATGCGAGGGGTTGCCCACGCTGTACAGGCGAGGCCGTTTGATCTGGTCTTGGCTGGACAGTGGAGTGAAGCTGTTCCTGCGGAGGAAGGGCGGCGGCATGCTGCCCGTTTTGGCCTTATTCTGCCCAGAGAAAAACAAAGTGGGCGCATTAACAAACCCTTTTTGTTGGGACAGTGAAAACGTTCCTCAGTTTGGAATTGCATTTTTATATGAGTATTTCTTGCGCAAAGACAAAAAAAAATGAAAATAAAAAAACAGAGCAAAACAGTGCATGACGCAAACAACCTGAAATAGAAAAGCTGGGACATGCGGGTCTTGCTACACAGGATGTTCCTCACCCAAATTAACGAGAGGGTTCTCCATAAATCTGTTTGTGTTAACACCCTCTTTGTCTAAACCTCAAACACACGTCAGTTAATCAGCACAAAATCTAGAAGGAGGGAGCTTTTATGAGAGAAATTAAGACAAAAGGAGCTTACAAGAATGTGACTAACGGGTTTTTGTTACACAAATAATAAGGAAGGAGTTCCGTCAACCTTCTTCAGCTTTTTTTAAAAGAAAAATTACAGGCAATCGAATAAAAGTTTCCATGGTTTAGTGTTCATTTAATTGCAATTCCTATTCTGACATATGAATCTCTCGCATTTTCCCATAATGTATGTATCACTGTTTAACTACACCTGGAAAGAAAGTTATGTGTGGACATTTTAAAATAAATCTAGGGATATTTTCATTTAGTAACAAAATAATTAATAAAAGCTTTATCAGATAAAGAAGATGAAGGAATGCATGTAATCCTAAATTGCTGTCCCACAGAAACAGTTCATTTCTGAATACAAACATTTTTGTCCCTTTCACTGACATTAAGAGGGGGAAATTTTAATCACACATCAGATATGTAGCACTTCAGAGGCAGCTGGTTTTTGTTAACTTTGAATACAACTTGGCCTGCAGCTTCCCATCAAAATATACAGCAGATAAAATAAGAATTAGCCTTTCCATGAAGATTTTGCCAAGGAAACACAAAGTCCCCCAGAATGCCACTGCCACTTAGAAAGAGCTCTGACATCATGGACCAGTATCCATATATCAAATTCTATATTGATACTATATGTCCACACAAAATCTGCATGTGAATGTTGCACCGTGTCAGTGGATCCTCCTTCTGACCACAAGTTAGTGTGTGTGAGATACTTAGTGGCTTTTGACAGCCGACGTTTGGTATGATCTGAAGGTTTTTTTTAAATAAAATGCTTGGTGTAACTCCACTGACTGTCAAGTGCTTTGGCTGGGATCGCTGTCTGAACAGCTTTAGATAAGACCTCTGAACAAGATTTTGTGTGCACAAAAGGTATCTTTCCTTGGGGGGGTGGATGACTGTTTTTTAAAACAGGATAAGGGACTGCAGGGTGTAATTTTGGTTTGAATTCCTTGGAATGGGCCGGGTCCAGGCTCTTTGTCCCGTCACGAAAGGTTGCGCAGCACAGGCGCACACTTATCGCACAGAGCTGGTGGAACAAAGCCGGCACCAACTGCAAAACACGCTCGAAAAGAAACTTACCAATGGCCTGTCCCTGTGTGTGCTGACCGCCTCCACCTCCAGGTCGAACATGTCCACTTTACAGCCTGTGAGGGAGAGAGAATGAGAGGTCTCGGGAACAGAGGCAGACGTTTAGGAGGCCTGATGAACAAACAGGTTGCTTACCGTAGGCCACAGGAGTGAGTTTGAGGACAGTGTGCAGGGGACACTTCATGTAGGGCAGATCATCTGAGCCAAGAACAACAAAAGACGACAAAGTGAGGCATGGTCGGCTTAGCTGCTGTCGTCTCTTGAATGTTTATTGATTTTTCTCTCTCGCTGGAGGGGGCACACCCATGGTTTATGCTGCGCGGCGTTAACTGCCCGCTGCCCACCGCTGTGTTAAGTCTAAAGTGACCCCGTGGGTTGAGCAGAGCTCAGCACAACATGTCAGTCCGCGGTGCACCCACGCTCTGGTTTCTGCAGTCATGTAAGTGTAGCTGAGCCTGTAAAAACAGATGCTGCTTCACCCAGGACTTCCTGCCCTGACTGACGAAACCCTCAGGCTGCACGCGTCTTAATTATGGCTCTGCTGACAATATTTTCCCAGCACCACCGCAAAAGTTAATGCTCAGGAGCTTTATTTATAACCCTTGGCACATGGAGAGAGGGTAAAAGAGGCGGCTGTCACTTCGTACACAGATGTTGGATCTGTAAAAAACAATCCTGACAGGAGGAGTTGAACTCCTGTAAATCTCGCTGCCCTGAGAATAAACATTTAGGAGAAAGGGGGAGATTCGGCTCACAATGGCAAACTGGTGAGAAGAAGGCCGATAACAGAAAAACTGTGTGAGAACGTCTCCCTGCCTAATCTTCGTTCGGCTGCATATTTACTTGAGACAAACTTTCTTATCATTTAGGGTGTTGTTGTGCAAGTCAGACATAAATATTTCATCATTTTTTCAATGGGAATAAAAGCAGTGTGTACAATGTGCCCTTTATTTCACTGTATTCTCTGATACTCTGATTTAGAACAATACTCTGCTGCTTTTTCCATTTTTTGTTCTGTTTTTTTACCAGTCAGCCTGATTTCTGCGCTGACTGAGTTTGGCGAGGCGATTTGGCGTGTAGACGGCGGGATGTGCTGCTGTTCCACGTGAGCGCATTCCCGAGTGAACTGTGAGTTGACTGGGAGAAGGAGCAGTGCCTGAGCGAGGGCGTGCGCGCAGTTTAAGAAAACAAGTTGTTTTCGCAGCACAGCGCTTTTAGCTTTTTGGGAGCACACAGGCTTCTCATTTTAACCCTGTTTTATAAATCCAGCTGCAGGCAGGTTTTTTCCCCACGGTGCAAACCTACAGACACAACTCAGTGAATTACTTTGTGCTCTTTTTTCTTTTTGTTTAGACTAGCTGAGACCTTCTCTCAGTCCTCTGATAGATATAAAAAGGAACATGTTTTATTCTCCCCTCTCATGTGCCTGCTCAGCTGGGACAGCTGAGTTCGTATATATAGAATTCGTCATGTTCTGCTTCTGAACTGCAAGCTGCAACTGCCCTGTTCTTAGCCAGATAGCTTTGGGTAAATGAAGACCTGGTGGGCAGATGAATGATCCACCCCCGGATTACACCTGGTTGTAATCCTGTTAGGAGATAGCCCTGCTAACAGTCAGAACTGCTGGTGTTTCTGATCCCTAAACAGTACTCACATTAAATTGAATTTGTCATTTAACCATCAAAGGAACAGATATAACAGGAAATCCCCCTCATAGAACAGAAGGTCGAGGTTGAAGTGCAGCCCTTATCTACCAAACAGCTTGGATTGCATTAACTAAACAGCTAAAATACTAAACAAAACTAAACATTTTAGTATTTTAGGCCTTGAGACTCTTCCATTAAATTTGCATCTGGCTGCACTCCCATTCTTTACCAATCCGGATTCACTTTTTAATGTTCATATGTCGTGTCCCGTGCATTTAACCTGCGCCCTTGTCCAGGAAATACGCCAGCAAGCACCGCATGACGGCCTGATGGCAGATGACCAGAACGTTGCCCTGTCGCTCCAGCTCCATGATAACCGGCTCCAGACGCTGAACCAGGTCCTGGTAAGACTGTGGAAAGAGAAATATCACAGCTGAGCGAAAAGACTGCGCCCAGCAGAGCTGAAACATCCTCAGTCAGGACAGACGGAGCCCTTACCTCTCCTCCAGGGTAGCGGTAGTGATACTTGTCCTGGTCTCTCATGGAAAACTCCTCTGGATACTTTTCCTCAATCATCTTATAGGTCATCTCTTCACAGACACCCTGAAACAAGGAGAAACTCCACTAAGATTTGCTGTGTTTTCAGGTCATGTGGCCGTGGTTTAGAACACATACAGCATCAATTTCATTCAGTATCTTCCACTGCTCGTATGGGACACCCAGCTCCTCTGCCGTCTGAATGGTGCGTCTCAGCTGGCTGGTCCAAACTTTCAGGTCTGACAGTTGGTGCTCGTTCACAAAAACCTTCAGCGCTGCAGCAAACTTGTAAAAGATAACATGAAAAAGTTTTCAGACTGGTAGCTGAACAAACACCGTAAGACAAATGAAGAATGGAATGAAGAGATTCCTCTTATAAAAGCAGCAAACGGTTGATTTCCTGCATCAGGATATAAGTGGGGTCCCTGAATTTATGTTTGAACTGAACAGTAAACTGGAAGAATAATCTGGCATTTTCGGGATATCTGGCATGTTAAATGGTAAGCTGCTGATGGAACCGCTCTGCATCTGCTGGGGGTCACTCATTTAAATAGACACACAGCCTGATTTGTATTCACCATCTAATGTTTCTGGGAGACAGATTTCTGAATACGTGAAGTGATAAAGTACCTGCTTTCCTCTCACTGACAGCTCCGAGTCGCCACCTATGCGGCCCTCCAAATTGTGTTGGCTCTCCCCGTGGCGACAGAGGTAAATGGAATGGGAGTGGACAGTGACGTTCATAAGGTAGTAGACTATCTTACTTTGGATGTAGTCCTGGACCCTGTTGACTAAAAAACGGCGGCCAACATTGATGATCTGGATGAAGGACGTGTTCCTGCAGACCAGAGAGAGAACATGAATGTTGGTATGGCCAAACAAACTGAGAAGCCACCAAAGGAGATTAGATTACTTTTTTTGTGTCTCAGGAATTTCTGTGCAAACAGCTCTGCTGTAAATAAACAATGCATTAAAGCTAGAGAGACGATGAACCACTCACTCTTCTCACAGCCAAATGTGAGGTATATGTTCACCGTCTTAGAAAGAGAGCTGTGAGCTATATTATCAGGTTATTAATAGAGAATTTTAAACAAAGTAACCCTTGAGGAAAACAGTTGGATTTGCTTTAAATGACAAATGATGTTCTGTTTCCACCTGCTGGACCATTTCTGCAAGTACACATTTATTTATACAAAACATCACTGAAGCAACAATGCCTACATTTTACCTCAAAATAAAGGGGAAAAAGAGAACATTTTATGGGTCTTCTTACTTGTCGTGTGCGTCTGGGTCCAACGGTTGGTAGGTGACTTTGTAACATTCTATTCTCTTCAGAAAATCCTCCATGACGCTTTCTCTGTCCCTCTCAGGGTAATCTGGGCTGGAAACCTTCACGTCCTTAGTGGGAAAGAAGGGGAAAAAAGGTTTAGATGGACAAATCATTAAGAGATTTTGCCAGTTCAGCAAAGTTAACACTTACCATGATGTTTTCCGCAATGACATCAGGATCATCACATATTGATTCAACAAAGAACACCTAGAGAAGGAAGGCATTAAAATTAAGTGTCTGAAATGTTTAAAATGAATATCGATATTGTTTATAAGAATTCATTAATTAAACAAAATACAAAAATGTCTAAATAATTTTTTCCAAATAAAAAAGCGTGTCCAAAATGCACCTTCAGAACTATCATTTTGCCGTATACATTAATTTCAAACAGGGGAGTGTGTTTCCTCATTTATGAATCACCTTGTATTCATTGTCCTTTGCAAAGTTAAGGATGAGTTCTCTCCTCTCTCTGGTGGTGTTGGTGGCATCAAAAACCTGACCAGCCGTATAGAACACTCAGTGTAAGTCAAACTAAACTTGATGTTCTTTTACAAGGAATGAACAAATGCTCAAATGTTTTTGTTTCCTTACAGCAATCTGGCCTCCCTCCTCATTCAGGTAGGCTTTGACATCCTGCATGGCCACCAGAGCGCACTGTCTGCCGGAACACAAGCGGCCCGTCAGAAAATATTCAGTTTAATGCACCACAGGAGGCCCAAAGAAAAAGGAACCGTTCTCACTTACTTTCTAATTTTCATTGCGTCTTGGTTGTCGTGTCTGAAGAAGTCGTAGGACTTGTATGATTTGACTGCTTCTCTCCTATACACTCCGAGATTAAAGACTGAAAGAACCCAGGGGAACATCAAGGTGGAGGCATGTAAAAACAGGAAAGTACATTGCTGTGTGTTCTCTGTTGAAGCAACAGTCTTTTTTTTTCGTCGGCTTTATCTGCGACACTCGTTCTCCTGCATTCCTCAAAGGTGAAAGCATGATGGTACAACTACAAACACAGAACTGCAATAGTAGGTGATTATCTAAATATAACCAAAGGTTAAATCATCTTTGCCTTAAGCCAGAGATTTCTACCAAGGTATCATAGTTTAACCACTAAAAAATGTTCATAGGGAAGTGTGTCATAGAAGCCTTGGAAAATAGGCAGCCTGCAGATGCTTATCCGAGTCTTTTCACTGGCTTTATTTCGTGTATACACATCAAATATTACTTTGTGAATCCAGCTTAGACATTGGTTTCCCCAGTTCTGACCTTTCGTTGGCACTCCAATCCAGTTGAGGTAGCGTGTCAGCTTCTTGGACATGTACGTTTTCCCTCTAGCAGGCAAACCAATCATCACGATCATGGTTGGAGAATTGGTCATGTAGGAGGCCCATGCTGCAGTTTGCACACAAAACAAAGAGGGGGAGAAGTGGTGTAATATATCTACAGGATGTCACCTTTTAAGCAGGGCAGGACACTCTCTGACCTCACTCTGAAAAATGTCTGGATTGAAATAAAAGAGGTTCTACAAACAGCTGTGCGCACATATCCTGACAGCACGCTGAGGAAGGGGTACGTCATAATTCAGTGTCATCTGGACAGTGTCCATGGCCTGGTTAACGTTTCTTAAAACACTTTGACCGTGACAATTAATGTTTCTCAGAGTCCTGCTGCTCAGCAACCCGGTTTAGTGCCTCTTGTGTAACTGTGTTGGCTCCAGCGAGGAATGCCAAATATTAAGATTTTCCTTTTTTTCTTTTTTCCTTTAGTGTTCCAAGAGAATTATTCTCATTTCAGCTAAGATAAACCCTTCACCACAAGGATGTGAGGAGAGTCCAAACTCTCACAACCAAGACCCTGCAGCCAGGATTCCTGTAATGCTGAAGGCCTTTTTTAGGAATGTAAGAAACATCCTCTATGGCTGTCGAGTAAATAACGAAGCCCAGGTCACCGGTTATTAAAACACCTCCCTTCAGGAAGAATACTACTGTATAAATATGACAGAATGTGCGTCAGAGCTGACATTTAACAACCTGTGCTGGCTGAAACATGACCTATCCACAGAGCAGGGACTCTGAATGGGTTCAAATCCAAGTACGGTGGGGTGGAAAGAGGGTTGGCAGAGGTTGGTCATTGATGGAGATCATATGAGAGGCATCATTTTCACATTTCACCCTCAGGGCACAGAGAAGAAACACAAACTACTCACAGCTCTTCTTGTTATTGGTCCTGCGCTCCATCCTCTTAACCTCTGCCGAGCTGCCTGAAGGGGCCGCGGGTCTCAGCTGCCGGGCAGCCATGACGCACCTGACCTGTGTGCCGCCGTCCTGTCACGGCTGGTCTGGGGACAGCCTTCTCCGGTCACTAATGACTCTGGCGCAACATGTCAAAGATTGCCTGAGGAGCAGAAAGGTACAGGAGGCAGGTCAGAACACCCTGTACACAGTTAGACACAAGATGTTCACATTTACCGTCAAGCATCAACTGACAAAAGGTGCTCTTAAGAAGGTGCCGACTTAAAACAAATACAGAAATCCTGGGGATAAAGTTACAAAGGGAAAGAAAAATGACAGGGAATGCAAACACATTGTAAGAGTCAATATTGGGTCCAAGAAATTAGAAAAAAAGTCAATTTTTACAGACATCTAAAAGTCAGAGCACACATAAGCAGTAATATAATATCTATAGACTACTTTTTTTTTTGCCCTTGATTAACTTGGTTTAAATAGGTCAAAAGATAATTCCTTTCAAATTTGTCCTACGACTTCCCTAAACAAAAACACCCTCCTCTTCCGTTGCATGTTTATAGATGCATTAGATTATATTCCGACTAACCTGCGTACACGTCAAAAAACGTAGCCTGAAACCGAAACATTTAGTAACAATACTACATGAAAACACGCATTACTTGCGTTTGTAGCAGGTTCAGGTTCAAAATGTCACATACTGTACAACTGTAGCTGCTACGTTGACGTGTGCACACAGTCTTTGGTAACTTGTTTCACTGAATTTAAAACGCTTTTTAAAACGTCATTGCTCTATATCAACGATAAGGACGACGGTCAAAGTGAGAAAACGTACCAAACGGTTGCAGGTGTCAAATGTACCCGGTAGTAAGCCTTCGTTCCAGTGATGGTTTCTGATAACCTGCGCCGCCTCCTGCCACATCCCCTTCTTCTTCTCTGGCTCCGCCTTCCTCCCGTCGCCCCATACCGGATGTTCACCGTGCCTGTCAAAATAAAAGCTCCAGTTCTACTTTTCGAAATAAAACACTGGAGAAACGTGAGATTTTCTCTGCGGTGACAAAAACTGTCCGAACACCGTTTACATCCCACAGGTTTAATACGGATTTTCGTCTTTAAAATTAGGGGCAAATATTTTAAATCGATGATAATGCAAAATAAGTATATCTTAAAATGCATTTTTAACCAGTGACAGAATTCAATTTGACTTGATAACGTATTAAAAGTAGTTCAGCATTTTAAGGTTGGTCAATTTGCAACTCGTTCAACATGAAGCTTGAAGATCGTCTGTAAATATGACACAATCAGATGCTGCCAACCACATCCTGGTGCATGTGCCCATTAAAGGAGACCACGACTTTTTTTTTTTTTTTTTTTTACAAAAATACGCCCTGAGCTGTCGGTTTAGTGGTGTTACATGGTATTAAACAGACAGACAGACAGACAGACAGACAGACAGACAGACAGACAGACACATACATATTCAAGGAACAAAGATATGCATTCAAAAGCTGAGTGGCATTCCTTTTTAATTCTACAACATATGTAATACAGAAAATATGCCACATAAATAATTGTAATCACAATTATCTTTATTCTCTTTAAAGAAACTAGGCTCACAGTGTCTAACTAATTCACCATAACATTAAACAACCCTTCATCTGTAAGATATGTGCTTCTTCTGCAAAATAGGTCAGTACAAGATAGTCTGGGTCTACATAGTTTTTGCTCATTTTCCTAGCTGGATCTCTGAGAGGACAAATATGAGGCCGAGGACATGTGGCAACAAGGGCCGGTGCTGAAGTCAGAATGGATTATGATTCTGTCCATCAAGCATCGAGATTACACAATGACCCAAATTCTACCTCAAAGCGTTTCATTTTGACTGTGTCTCAGACAATTCTGTAATTTCTACAAACCAGTGAAGCCAGAAAACATGGCCTCATCCACACGCTGGCTGAATAGCACTTGTACATAATCCACCTCCGGAGCTGCACCTTCTGGTCCACGTTTGTCCATTTTGTAGCCCTTTGAAACTCAGGAAGTACCGGTAAACAAGCAGTCTGAAGATCCCTGATCAGGTCTTGCTCTCAGTTTATAAGCAAATAAAGGGCTCCGGCTCAAAAACGACATGGAAACAAAAAGGAGAGGACTTTTCCACCATTTGTCACAGTAAACAAAATCCTAACGCATAGTACATACCCTGAACGCCTTACACAGATTAAATGACTTCGGGTCATTTGCAAGACCGCTTTAAAGGATTACTCAAAGTTCACCGGTAAGGATCTTTGTATATTTTATACGCAAGAAGGCCATGCTTTTAGATTACACAGTAACAATAAAAGTCTACATTAATGCTATGATGTACTGTAAAGCATAATATTAACTTAGCAGTTAATATTACCACTGTGTTAATGATGTGAATGAGCGGAGTAAAAAAAGAAAAGAAAAGAAAGACAGAAGTGATGACCAGGACATGTAGCAAAGGGATGTTTAATGATTTCTTTGGACAATGAGGTGCACATGTCCATTGTTGATGTTATACAAATAAGAGAATAAGAAACTTGACAATGCAGTGTATTGTGTCAGCATTCCCAGTTCAACTTCATTTACGATTCAAAATGGAGTAGTTTGTTTGGAGTGTTACACACGGACTCGCCACTAGGTGGAGGCCCAGCACTAAGGGAAAAATAAAGACAACTTCTGTGAGGATCTACACTTGGTGCCTGATTATTTGCTAAGGCCAGTTTAACTCCCACAGTCCAACTGTCGTGAGTTAAAACGGATGAGGCCCAGCACATCTGGAATGAGCTGATGCAAACAAAACCTACTGAGGGTATACACACAGCCAGCTGGAATCGTGAGACAGTTAAATAAAAGGATCGTTTTAAATAAGAAAAGAAAACTTCAAAAGGAGACTGAAATGATGAGCTCTGCCATCTTGGCACAACATGACATCCCTCACAGCACCATTAATTATAATTTAGAGAAGTTATGTCTGACCTTACTGAAGATGAAAGTCACTACAATAATTTCAAATTGAATGTACCTCGGTTTATTATTCTAAAATAAACTACGACAAAAAACAAAAAAGCACAAGGAAAAAGATAACTGGGATGGGAGTTCAAGCTGCTAAAAACGAGAGCCAAAGACACAGATGAGTTTCACAGTCAGTGCACGACTGCACCACACCTTTAAAAAGAAAGAAAAAAACATTTTCTTCAGAGGAACCGAGAATGTCTGGAGCCATATGGAACATCCTGAAAAGGTTCTGAACATTTGGCCAATTAATCTGAACTTGTACAACAAATATTCCATCCATAGTGGTTTTTAGTACTTAGGATTTAACCTGAGATTCGACAGTTCAGTCCACTCTCCACAGAAGATAAAAAATAAATCCCAATGAAATTATCCATTAAAGTACAACCAAAAATTATTTTTAGGTCTAAATGTCCTAAAAAGCAGTGATCCTGATGCAGTGGATCCCTGATCCACTGCAGTGAGCAAAAGCCAAACTAGCCTCCGGCCTAAAAGACACATTAGTGTTAAACTAGTCAACTTAATCATACCATCTTACAAGAGCTAGTTCTGCCTTTAGCACAGGACTATTTCTTTGTTTGATGCCTGAATTTGGCAAAAAGTTATTCCAGCTAGAGCTAAACTGAACTGCAGCAAACCCGCTAGGAGAATCTGATTTATATTTGTTTACTTAAAAAGGGTGCAAAGAACTCAAAACTACATTACAGGACTAAAGGTGTACAGACAAAGTACAATGTGGATTAGATGTGAAAAACCAGCACCACACTATAGAAGACAGAGCGCTCTTTACCCACTCTGATCCTAAAAAGTTTTAAGAGTAACTACAGTCAGCCGACCCTCAGATGGATTTGTAGAGTGGTGTTGAGGATCACCACCAGCACCCTGTTTTATTTATTTTTCTAGCTGATAGTTCTGCTAACTTGATAGGAGACGAAAGATTTTCAGAGATGCGACAAACTGATTGGGTGTGTCACTGAACCTGCATTTAGACTGATCATCTGCCATTCCAACACAAGTTACACAATGCATCTATGAAATATTGAACAGTGTGCTTTTGTTGTTTCATATCTGAGCAGTCTGGTTCACTTAAAACAAACCAAGGCTGAGATCTTATTTGTGAAGATCTTCAGCCGACATGACCTCTCAGAGCACGACTCATCTTAGACCTTATGATTGACTAGTGATTGCTTTAATCATCATCGTTTGTCTGGGTGGCTCGTACAGTTATTGTGGTGACATGACAAACCCAGAAAGCAGATTCTTTCCCATCAACACTTTAAATAACTGAAGTAATGGTATCTACATGCAATGCTTGATCCAGTATAATGACATTATTGCTATGCTGCCTCAAATCCTTTCCAGTAGCAAGCAGACCCCCGCCCCCCCTCTGACAGTCTGGCTGAACTGGAATGCCGTATTAAGCAGTGAATGTCTTGGTCCCCTGCATCCCTTAAAGAAGCAGTGAAAATCAGAATGATTAAGAAAAAAAATAAAAAAAATAAATGGTGGGCAAACTTGATCTGAGGTGAGCGGAAAGTGCAGCGATCAAGTCAACATGAGCTAGAAATAGATACACGTCATACATTCCACTGTAGCGCCACTTCCATTCCCCGAATTCCTTCCCAAAACTAAAACAATGTAAGACTTTAACAATGGGTATTCACACACAGGCTGTGTAGTGGGTGTTTGTGACAAGGAGCAGAAGAGAGAAAGGTGTGGAGTAAATGATTGCATCAAGTGCTAATATATCATGACGGTAAATGTACTCGATCTATAAAAAACTACCTTGGTGCTGAACACTGACCTCTTTCTAACAATTAATTTGGTATACAACATTTACAAAATTAACATTGTAATAGTGTATTATATATATATATATATAATATATGCTACTGCCTTCCTCTGCTTCTCTGCATTTAAAACCTCTGAGTACATTAACGCCATCTTAAAATCCCCACACCGCACGCGGCGGGTGGCAGTCCAATACAAAGAGAGAACAGGAAGACTCGGTGGACAGTGAGTACACCTGCATGTGTCCTGAGTGTGTGTGGATGGTAGCTCAGCCTGTAGCCGTGCAGCCTCGATTAGCTGGTGGACTCGGCTGTGAAAGGAGTTTTTTTTTCTTTTCTTTTTTTCTTTAAAGAGAGTAAACTTCTGGGATGCCAAGATTCTTCAGCTCACAAGGTAGATGATGTCCTTATTCAAGATACTTACACAATTAAGACAGTCTGGAAATACTTTAAGAGATAATTATTATAATATCAATAATAACAACAATAGTATTAAACATCTGTAAAGGTTTTTTCTGTCCCGTTGCAGCTGACTGATGATCTGCATTGCTCTGGACTGTCCCGGTGCTCTGTGATCCCCATGTGTGTCCTGTAGTCAGCGTGCTCGCTAAGAAGGATCAACCTGTGCATCCGTGCTATGGTTTAAGTGTGTTCATCTCAGATCTGTGTGTCTGTATCTGTGAGGGCCGGATACGAGTTATTTTGATGACGACCGGCACGGGCTCGCCTCTCAGAGGCGGGTCTGTGCTTCGGGGACGTAGATTTCGATGCTGTCGGCGCTTTCCGTCGCCGAGTTCTGCCGCACGGACGCCGCCCGCTTTGCTGCCATCAGACGCTTTCTGGCCTCTTGTCGCTGCTTGTCCACTGCCGAGTCCACGCTCCTGTCCTTCCCCGTCGACAGCCGTGGCTTGGACGGCTTCTTTGGCACGGATGATGGAAGCTGCTTGTTTTCATCCTGAAGAAATCGTGTCAAAGGAAGAGCGGTCAGTTTCTTAAGCCGGACGCTTATTTTCATTCACCACCAATGCAAGGCTGATCCACCTTAAGTATCAGGAAAAACTGGAGGCTTAGGGGGGGCTTTTTTTGTCCATATGCTGCAACAAAGTAGTATTTGTTCACTTTCTAAAACTAACACCAAAGCACAAAAATAGTTTCATTCTAGTCAACTATAAACCCAAAAATTGCCCCTCATGAAAAGCCGTTATATGACATTTGTGCTTAAAGAACAACTTGGACGACATGTTCATTAACTTCAGCTATACAAAAGGTACAATAAATATAAAAATAAAAGAGCCTCGCGCCATAAGCATCACCTTCTTCAATGGCTTCTCAGGAAGCTGCCAGTTGTTGGCTTTTAGCTGGTAGAGCTCGTCAAACTTCATGCTGATGTCTTCTATGGAGAGCTGCAGCAGATCCCAGAACCCCGCGAGGTCCTGGGCTGTAGGTCGAGGGTTGGCGTTTACATTCTGGTTTGGAATAAATCATAAAAGTTACAGACAGGTTAGTTTCTCTGCAAGCATGAAAGCATGACCGAGACATACAGAGAAAACACATCCAACAACCACCGTCTCCCAAAGCAATAGTTGACCCACAATAAAGAATACAATTGCACTTAATATGATTATGTCCTGAACATAATACATTTTCTGATTTCGATTGAAAAACAGAATCAGCAGCACAGAGAAAAGACGCACAGATAGAGTATCAACAGGGTGCACTGAGGCCACTCACCAAGTTCTCATTACAGAGGCCTCTGAACTGCTCAAACTTCTGGGATATGAGGAGCTGAGCACTGCCTACCGCACTGCGTATCGTCCCCAACACTGAAAGCAAATCAACGTCAAGAATGAATGCATACCAAAAAAAGACAGGACAGGGTGCACGTGTCATATACACATACATATTTGTTAAGCGATCACACATACCTGATACGCATTACTGTTACAATTTAAAATGAATTCCCGCCATCTAATTCATCAACTTATTCTCTCTTTATTTGTTCATTTTCTGCAGATAAATGAGAGCCCATAATTCAGGGCTTCTGAAATGACGAGTTAACTTCTTCCTCATTTATATTTTACACACTGCAGAGATGGATCTGCCTAAGTGATATTGTGGGAGATAGAAAAAGGGAAATGAATGCAATAGCTCTATTACAAATAAAACAATAACTGGCCCTGCAATGATCGGCAGAACTACGAGTCATGGGCAGTAATGGGTGTGTCATGTTTGTCTCATCAATATTTAACGGGGATGAGACCTGACCTAGTCCCCCGTCTGCCAACTTCTCTAACAGGCACAACTACTCTTCTGGGCTCTGCCTTAACAAGCTCTGCCTTTAGTGAAATGCTTATTTTAGTTTATGCTCCATGAAGTCTAAGATATATAATGTGGTTGTTCATCTCATTAAAGCAACTGAGACAAACATTCTGTAGGAATTTCAATAATGCACAAAGGCCACACCTTGATTTGACTGTTGCCTGGGAAAGGTAAGATGGAATGCCGTATGTTTATGATACGGCCAGCAGACGGAGAGCTATGCATCCGTGTTGAAACACACCTGTGTGATCTCCCTCTATGTGTACGTAGCGCGTGAACAAATTAAATTGGACCTAAAAGGTTTGGTGTGGAAGTGCATGCGGCTTTATCACTAACCCTCTTCTGAGAGCTTGTTGTCTTTGGTCTCCTGCTCCATCTGTCGACACCAGCCCTCCATGCGGCCCGTTTCTGCCTGCAGTAGCTTCAGAAACCAGTTGCCGTCTCTCAGACAGGCTGGCGTACTGGGCTGACCGGCATCTCCCTGCACACTGCAGTTTCCGGACTCGAGGCTGGGATCAGGTGGTGGCAGGGAGGAGGGGTCTAAAGCCGGGTCCAGGGTCTCGATGGATATCCTGGATGAAGCTGAGATGTGTTTAAGGGGCTGCTGTTCCATGGCTTTGTTCTGTCCGTTGGTCGTGGTGGAGTTCAATGGCTGGCTGTTGGTGCAGTTGGTTATGTTGTTTTCTGCGTTTGCAGCATTCTGCAGCTGAGACTCAGTCTCTGTGTTTTGTCTGGAGGCCATGCTGCTGTCCCGGCTAAGACTGCAGAGACATGCATAAACATCAGCGTCTGACAGACTGAAAACGCACCTTAAAGTTATGGGTTAAACATATGTCATGGTCATAGTTTGAGACCGGTGTGTGACTGACAGGACAGCTGAATGAGAATTATAATCTCGGGCAAACAGGCACGAAGAGCCATAAAAGAAAACGCAATAAGGATGTGGCAGCCAGGAAATAGGAGCAAATCGGGAACAGAGCATTAAAGTTTAATGAACTGCCGGCTTCAGAGATAATGAGCGGGAGAGATAGAAATACGCATTCAAACAAATGTGACAAGGAGGAAATTACAGAGCTATTTACAAGTTTAAAGACCAAGGTTTTCACTACATTCACCCCACTACTGTCAAAGGAATAATAAAAGAATATCAATCAGAACTGTGTTGTGCTGCTAACTGGACTGCTGAATGGCCACAGCACCTCTCTGCTATACAGGCTGTATATATTTATTAAAACATAAAGAAGCTACAGAAAAACATCCAAAAATCATCATGGGTAAGGAACTTTACTACACATTCTCTCCTGAAAGCTGCCTGTTAAACCACACTTAAATGCCTAAATCTGAAGAGTTTTCACTGGAAGCCTCTTTAAAGGTTATTTAGTGTCAGGAAAAAAAAAACAGGGTGGGATTTGATGTCTTATCCTTTATTCAGTCGTCTGGATAGAAACCTGCTTACATCCATCTGCTGGTCCTAATGTACTCTTCTCATTTTCTTATCCAACACATCAGACAGACAGCAGTCTGAGGGTACTTACGGCCTGCCGTTTTCAACTTGAACTCCAATCGACTGAAACTTTAGAGGTGCAGACAGAGAAAAGGGCTCTTCTCTTAGGACTGGAACAAGACAATCCACCTAAAACATCACCGACCAGAGAACGTTGATCAACTGATGAACTGTAAATGTGAAAACAGCCTTTTCAGTGAAGAATTCTAATAGAGAACATAAACCAGCTTGCCTGGATTCCAATAGAGGACAGCTTCCTCTTGGGTGCCGTTGGGGGCTGCTCTAAGTATACTCCCGTGCTTACGGGGTCATGTTGGGGATCGGTAGACGTGGACGTAGAGGTGGTAGCAACAGTGGTGGTGGAGGACAGGTCCCGGGGGGCTGGAACGGGAGGCCCGGAGGCTGGGGGAGGCGCAGCGGTGGCAGCAGCAGAGACGGCGGGCGGCGGCTGGGTCCCCTTGGCCAGGCCGCCGGTGCGGACGCTACACAGACTGTCAGATGAGTTGCTGCACCCTGAATGGCTGTTGGCCTCGCTCCCACGGTCTTGCTGGTCCAGGTACGTGTCTTGGGCAGACTCGGTGCTGCTCTGCAAAGTCACTGAGATGAGGGGCTTTGAGGTGGTGCGAGGTGGAACTGGAGGAGCTTTCCTATTGCTGACTGTGGAGAGATGGATGAAAAAAAATGTGATGAGGACAGAACTTTGGACACACACCTGTCATCTGCTTCATAAGTCTTAAGAAGAAAGAGAGTAAAAAAGAAAAACTAAATAAAACGTCTCACTACCTGAAAGCAAACCTGTACTTTGCCCTTATTGCTGCTGCCTCTATTAAGCTGTACTGACAACAACCTCGGCGTTCCCTCTGAGGGTTTGTGCTAGTGGTTGCGTTCACCAACGTCAGCCTATCCAGGGATATTTGACATGCTGCACTTGAACAGGCCTTTTACTCTGGAGACTGTCTTCTGGCTTTTCCTCCAACCGCCTTCTTCATGCAACTATTGAGCCGTGCCCGCCCAGGCTTTTTGAGCTCACTGGAGTGGGACACGTTTTATTGGACAGAATGAACAGGTAAAAAGGGAGCAAGTCAAACTTGAGGGACAGTACATTTTGTGGGTTTTGTTTTTCGCTCAAGGGGATTTACATTTAATAATAGCTTAGAGAAGTTTCTTTCTCAACTAAAACTTTAATCTACCAAGGTCAAATGACCTTTAGCTAATCTGCTCAATTACATTTTTTGTTAAACTGTAAAAACACATTAAGAATGTAAGGAAAATATGAAAAAAAAAACTACCGGTAATTCTGTCCTGGAGAACATACCTAAAGCGTACACATTATCCCTTTGTACGTCTTGACAAGATCCCGCACATTTACATGACCGAAAAATAAGAATTACTGTGTTAGTCCAACTAAAACCACACCCAGTAAAATCATATGAAAATTAGCTTCACAAAGCCGCAGCGACACACCCTGATATTGTGGACTGAGGATTGAATAACTCCTGCAGGTACATGCTGCAACTTCCATCTATCCAAGAATGGATCCACACAGAATAAATGCCTGTAAATCCTTGCCATGGGTCATAGAATTTATTCACCTTGATGTCCGGATGTACTGCATATAATATTACACAATGAGTGGATTAAACAATATAAAAGCATAAAATATGCACACAAGAGAACAACCTTTGTAGTCATGAGCAACATTCAAATGCTCCATTTGAATGCGTTTCCTCATCAGCACAGTGGCTGTTTCTGTGTGTTCACTTTAAGGTCAACTGAGACAAAATACCAGATCCGGGCAAAAAACAAACAACAACTATTTGCTGCTGAGCCCCGTCGCTGCACTCCAGTGTTGGTTGGAGTTTATCCTGTCGATGATCATCCATATATTCATATCAAATGTTTGCTCTTGCCGTGTTTTTAAAATTTGTTTTGTGACTGAAGGAGTCGCTTTCACTGTGCGTCCAGTGACTCCCTGGCCAGTGACCTACAGTCTGCAATCAGCTCAGCTCAGCTTGCATAAGTTGGTGCTAAAACCCTAATAGGTGCCGAGGACTACTACCAAATGGAAATGTAAAATACGCATTGTTTTAGATTATATGATACTATAATATTTGACAGAGAAATAAGGCCTAAAAGGGGAAAACCAGACTGTGAATTTAGATGGTTGAGAGCCAACTACAATACAGTAACATGTGGCAAAAAATATTATATTGTTAAGATTCCACTTAAACTTCTAGTTGATTGGCTAAATCTAATAGCTCCAGGAATCATATTATAGCAATGACCATACTCATTAAAGATCACATACCTTTATTCTTAAAGATAGCTGAACAAGTAATTACAATTTTGCTATTTTTGTCCCTCACTGAAATTCTTGATTCATTATTTTCCATAGTGGTTTTAGTCTGAATAGCAACCCAGCGCCCTGTAATTTCTGAGGGAGCTGCACTGCATCATCAGCCAGTGACGCAAAGAACCAGTAAAGCCATCATTAAATCCCACCAGCATACACAAACACGACTCTGGAATTCAGTGCATGCTGTGTATGTGTCGCTCAGGCAGCCAGGCCTGCGCTGGCAGCCTCGTCTCACAAAACATGACTTCCGAGGGACTAATAGAACATTTATTCCAGAAGACTGAGGCACTTTGCCAAGGACTCAAGTCACACATGCATGACATTCCCAATCTCAATTCATGCAAGTCTTCAACCACTCTAAATGCCCCTGTTGCAACTAGGGCTGCAACTAACGACTATTTTAATAGTCGACTAGTCACCGACTATTGAAACGATTAGTCGACTAATCGAATAGTTATTCACTTTTTCTTAAAAATAGCATAAAGTTTCTTTAGTTAAGTGGAAAATGATAAACACAAGAAAAATGGGTACTTCAATGAAAAATGCATCTTTTATTCAACTTTGCAGCTGATACAAAACGTAAATAAGAATGCGTTTGTCAGGCACAGTCAGGCATAACGTTAAAGCTCTCTTTTAAAGTGAAAAAACGCTTAGAAAATGTATAACGTACATAAAAGACAAAACATATTAGCATTATTGTTGCTTAAATCTTACCGAGGCGAGTCAGACTCCGTTTCATTTAAGTGCCCAACATGCTTTCTTTTTAAATGCTCGTGCATCACCGAGGTGCTGCCGTGATACGCAAGGTCTGTTTTGCAAACCTTGCACGTAATTTTTTTACTCGTTGTATCAAGGATAAAATGCTCCCAAACTTTGGAAGTTTTTGTACGCGTGTTGGACGCCGCCATTTCTGTAACCGCGACGCTGTTGTGCAGGTGACTCTGGGCAGATTGTAATTAAGTGAGATCTGTTGGAAAAACACGTCTGGCGACAATAGTCGACAATGGAATTCATTGTCGACTTTTTCTATTATCGATTTTTGTCGACAACGTCGACGAATCGTTGCAGCCCTAGTTGCAACTTGTGTTAAAAAAAAAACAATGGCTCTCTTTAACATAAAATAGGTTGCATTTCACACTCCACCCACCGTAGTATGGTTTGATCTCTGGTCAACAAAAACATAGGCAAAGTCAGGAAGATTCAAAAGTAAATGAGATTTTTCTCAGCCTACAGGAATACCTTTTCCTGTCCTTTCACTTTTGTGACTGCTGGTGGAAGCAAGCATACAACAGGAACAGTTAAGAAAAAAATAAAACACCACATATCTTCTAACATCTGGCACTTGAATACAATGGAAAGTTGAACATTTTAGTGGGATAACAAATTCCAATGAGGAGCAGGTCAAGCCATGAAATGCTTTCATTCCCACATCAAAAAATTTTGATAATGGTTGCAGGTACTTATTTGCTTTTACTTTCATTGCAGAAACCAAATATCATTCTGGTTAAAGATGTACACGACAATTAATGAACCTTAGGTTTAGAGACTGCTGAAGGCGTGTTAAGCACACTGATCTATGGGGCATCTGATCAAATTTAAAATGCTAATAAGTAGCTGTTGGGCCCAAACAAAAACATCCCAACGGAAGTTTTTATGGCAGACTTGAAAGCAAAAATTTACAGCAAGAATGCACTCATGAATAATGAACACGAGTAAAGCTAGTTTCCTTCACTAAGAGACCATCATTTAAACTAAAGGAACATTTATTCACATTCACCTAACCGTTTTGAAATAATCACCCTTTTAAAAAGAACTGCAAGGTTTGCAAATAGAGAAGGGAAACATCTGCCAAGTTGAGAGAGGAATAGGATAAATCTCATTAACAAGCTGATTAGTTCAGTGAAGAGGAGCTGCCTAGAAATCTTTGGCAGACCCACGTTTTTCTCATCTCAAAACGATTGAGATCAATCCTGATGTTGTCGAGAACACTACTTCCTAACAGTTAAACTGCATCACTTATTAAAGCTATGCAGTCTCTGACCATTAGCAGATCTGTCTGAGAGGTATCAGGTGACCACTAATGGGTCTTCCACACAAGTCTAATACCTCACTGTACATAGTGGACAACTTTAAATGTGCTGTTGTCTGTTTTTTATAAAAAAATTAAACAGAAACCACATATACACTTTCTTCTGTTTTCTATCCGGTTCTCTTGATAGAAATTAGCTCATTAAGAAGAGATGTTGGCCTTCAGTACAGTTATTAGGCAGAGGAAATCAGTGTGGTACTACAGTAGTTTCAACTGAAGCATCAAATTTAACAAACATAAAAGCAAAGCACACATCACTCACAATATTGAGTGATAAAGTTATTGTTGAAAGCACTTGGTAAAATCTGGATATGGGCCAAGAATAATAAAAGGAGGTGGTACCTTTGTCCAACATTAGCCTACAAAAGAGCAATCTGAAAGGACCGAGTAAGAGTTTTGGAAAAACAAAAGTTGCACTTAAAATTGACACAAGCCACATACATTAGAATTTACGATTAGTTTTGGTTTTAGTACAGAAATGAGGAGACGTAGTCTTTGCTTTCTTATGTGTGGCATAGTGTGATATCTTTAAGACCTCCTGCGGTTCTGTGTCTGACCGGCTGGGCTGACGCAACAGTCTGGAGAAGAGCCTAATAAGCTAATGTCGAGACACATGGCAAGACCTATTGCAGGGTAACGTTTCTGGATGGGATGTCTTTTAAATATAATATTTAATTTTGAATCTATGTCATAGCCTGACAAAATCTAGACGGACATATTGTGACAACAAGAGTCCCTTAATATCAATGTACCTTTCTTGGAAAATAACTTGCCAATTAGTTGCCTCTGTTAATTTTACTAAAAAGGGCACCTTTCAGTTTTCGTGCTCCTTGGGTGTTGTCATTCAATAGCCTGCTTTATCCAACCAACACCTTAAGGCTCGAATAACAGAACAGACAACAAAAACAAATGAGAGAATGGAACAATAGACCCTAAAAGAACTGCATAATAATTAGAAAACGGTCGTTGCCAATTTATCTGCCACAAACGCATGTAATAATACGGCTAAACTCACATTTTCAAACAGAGATGTGTCTTTTTATGGTGTGAGAACTTCAAAACCGAACATGAGTTAGGCGTGCGGTGTGGTAGCAGACCAACACTATTATGGGGTCAGTCTGGAATCATTTGACCATTGGTAAAAGGTTTTCCTAATGGTCGCTCAGGAAATGGACATGTCTTTTATCTACTTTTGTGTTGACCAACAACACCATACTCATCATTAAAAAGTCTGTGTGCTGCTGCCCTTGCAGGGAAAGTAGTTTGTTTGCCCATTGACTGAGGAGATGACCTCATGAATGAGTGTGAGCAAGAGGGTGTAATACTGTGACTGATGACTCACAGTCTATCCATGGCATTACAGATACACCATGTCTTGTGTAATTTACTTCTGGATACCATGAACACATCTTGCTTAAGCCAGTGAATCTGATGACACCCTGTTTCAGGACTTTTAGTTTTCACTGCTTTGGTTAATCCCACCAAACGTGAAAATGAATGTCGAAAAACTGAGGCAGAGCAGATGCTGCTGATGCTGCTGTCTGTGTCTCTGATGTTACAGTCCATTTGTGTGGATATCTGTTTACCATTGGGAGGTTCTTATAAAAGCCACAGAAGTGTCCAAACAGCAAAGCACTACACAGTGGAGGAAGCTGATGAATTATTGATCCTTCCTCAGGTCTAAACACATGGTAGCTTCTGAATAAAACGGTACGTGTAAGTGGGGTCCTAAAATAGTCACTGCAGTAGCTGCAAGTGAGTTATTATCCACACACTAACTGCATCCACTCTCACAATCAGAGCAACTCTCTGTTACTGGAACACTTGGTGGCAGCTTAACGTTAACGTGCTTCTGTCGATAACAAACCAGTTGAATCTCTATCATATTGTGCTTTGACCTGTTCATTAGAAAGGGTCGCAACAAGATGAAAGAAACGAAGAAAAACAAAATCTATTCAGACTTTGTATTTAGATAACACATGCAGTTAAGAGTGATTCACATGCCTCTGTAAACGCATCATGGTCACATGCCAAGGTAAAGATAAGAAAGGACAGGTAATTTAGACAACCGAACACCTCATGATATTTGGAAAGACCAATCTTGTCGGAAAGTTGCATTCAATTTCTGGCGAAGAACACATAAACGATCGATTTCGCCTAATTTATATTGAACGATTTGTGTCAATGCATCACTTGCGTAATGTAGGCACAACTAAATCTGTCCGCTGCAGCTAGCTTCTGTGAGAAACTGCTTTAATACCGGCATCGTGGTGTCCGTACCTCGACTGCCTACGCCTCCGCTTCAGTTAGCTCCGGCTACTAGCTAATAGATGCTCACAGCGGCGTGCTACCATACAGGGCATTTAACGGGATACAGCCCGAGGCATTATGTACTTGATATGAGGGAGGCAAAGGGGAGGTTGCGTTTAGCTTAATTATCACCCATTTAAAATCAACAGCGGCATTAGTATCTCGTCGCCTTGGCTTCTGCACACAAACGGTCCACACATTTTTAGTCTTATCCCCTTTCTTCAACCACATTAGCTAGCTAGTTAACCAACCTCACGATTACCGTTAGCACACGTTAGCTTGATACTGCTAGCGAACCGACAACAAGTGACAGTTCAGACAAAAACCGCCGGTCGTTAGAAAATAAAAAAAGACCTTACTGCTTTGTGGGTGACGCGAAAATCCTTATTTTCCGTTCATTCATGTGAGACAGACGAGCTGTAGACGAGCTACGGGTTCCAGCCGTAAGATACACAACGACACTATGAAAGAAAAGATTCGAAGTCCACGCCCTTGACAACAGCGATTGGACTCCACATGTTCTCTATAACTGACTTCTGCATACGATTGGACAGGTCTGGGACTCGACTTAATCAAAGGTGAAGATGATTGGCTTAAGATCAGGAATTACGTCGCTCGCGACAGCGTTAAGGGTAGGTGCGTTTCATTTCGACGGTGACGCCGCGGGAACTGTCTGAGGTCTAGACATAGAAAATAAATAAATAAATAAAACCAGCCACATCTCCGGTCTATTGTTATCCATTGTTACCTTTAACAACGTCTACAGAGGATTTAAATAATTCCATTCGAATTCCCTCTTTGCACAAGTTTCTTGTGTTAAGTTTGAGTTGTTCTAAAAAATTGTTCAATAAAATATAATAACAAAGACATCTCAATAAAAAAAACGAAATGCCCTGGTCAACAAAAAAAGGGAAACTGTCAAACAATAAAACGTTTAAATCAACACAATTAAGTCAACTGAATTTACTTTTCTTTGTATTTGTTTCAAGATGAATAACTTATTGCTATCCAACAAGTTGTTGCAAAATGTTGCAATCCTAATGTAATCAACAACTTGATTACATCACCAGATGCAAGTAAGTATGTTTTCAATAGTTATCTTATTATGTTTTCATTTATTGTATTGTAATCATGTTATATATTCTTCCTGACAAAGGCTGTGTATATTAATGAAACCAGAGTCAATAGACCTGACAAAAATAATATATTAAAACAAATACCAGCGCTATTAATGTACAATTTCTCCACATCGTACCACATGTAATTACAAACTATTAATAATAACAGTTTTAAAACATTCATAGCATCAATTATATGTTATAAAAAAATGACAAAGAAATATAAATATGTTTTCTGTTAAGAATGAGTCCAGTGTGACATGAAGCACCAATGAGGCATTCAAACTGCATTTCGAAAGTATACTGTAGAGGAAATGAAAGCATCTTTCATCCTGTTCCATTATCTGGCATTTAATGACCAGAAAACCTATCCCTTAGGAAATAGAAAATAATACATCCACCTGTTTACCTCTTCTATTCATTATAGATAAAGCAGATTTTTTTTAGAGCCAGATTGGAATAAATAAAAAAAACCTGACTGGAATGAAAAAAAAAACGCATTTTGTAAAGTAATAATGCCAAATGGCATACAATCAGGGCAATGGTAAGGATTTCTTGTTTTTGATGTTGAAACATCCCATTAAATTAGTGCGACCGAATTGGCAGCAGCTTTGTAATGCAAAGTGGAGATGTTACTGTACATGTTCTACTAAAAAGCACACTTGTTGGAAACAGAATAACATTTTTCAGCTCTCTCAAAAGGTTTTCAAAGAGATCTAGGTCAGAACCCACGGCATCTTTTGTTTTTCGGAGCCCTGCTGAGGATCAGAGAAAACAGCAAATGAGGAGGGATGCAGTGCTTGTTAACCACAGGTTGAGTAATCCTAGTTATGTCAGTTAGGAAGATCGCTCCAGCACCTCAGATGTAGAACCTTTGGCGGCCTTGAGTTTCCGTCCATGTCTACCCAGAGAGTTCACCTGAGTTACTTAATAATGCTGCGTTAAATCACAAAAAAGAAAAAAACAACAACACTCCAATCCATTAATAACATCCATAGATGGTCTTTGCTTAGGGGGACGAAGGGAGGTGTACCTGCAAACGCTCCAGCTGTCTCTGCAAAGTTTGTTGAACATTTTTTGTATTCTGTCTAGTTATGCAGTTATTCTTTCTCAATATTATGCTTCATCAATATGAAAACACAAAATTTGACCTGAATTTAAGATAATCTCTTTTTGAATCATTCTCCTTTGCTGTTGCTTATGTTGTTTGAAATGCTTTAGTCAAAATGAAGAAGGTTTTCAAAATCACATTAATCCGTTGGTGCATTCATTGATTCCAAGACCAGAGGCAACGACGTAGCCCCAAGCAAGGTATGAGAGCATATAGACAATGGATGGATTGATAGATGCGAGTTTGGCTTGTGATTTGAAGCCCTGTGGGATTCACTTAGTGGCATGTGATTTGGGCATTAAGTGAGAGAAAACGAGTCCACTAGTTTGACTGTGACGTCCAGTTCCACAATCTTTTTTATGAAGCACACACACTCATAAAAATACAAGTAAAATAAAAAAAATGTCAATATATCTGACAAAAGAGGGTTTATCCAGTAGTGTATGTGAAACTAATTACACTTTAAATGTTACATCTGATGGAGTTAAGTGTAGTGTTTCATTGCAAAAATCCCTTTTCAGTGCCCTTCCTGTTTTTTTAAGGTAGCAGAATGGTACCGTACATCCAGTTCTTCTTCCAATTCAGCTAATTCCCAGTCAGGGATCGTCCTCTCACTTGTACTCACTTGTGTTGGAACTGTAGCTGTAGCCTGCAGTGATGGGTGGTGGCGACTCTGAGTCCAAAGAGGCAGAGTCTTCATCCTGGGAGCAGCCGGCCTGTATGGCCCGCAGGTAGCTGTGGCTGCGTGAGCGGAAGCACGTTGGTGCCGGAAGATCCAGGGCCTCCACCGCCTGTGACTCCCCCTCACAGTACGACACAGGGTGCCCACAGCCCTGCCCGCATACCTGAAAGAACGTGTGCAGACTCACACGCTGAGGGCAGAGGGCAGACTGATAAACACACGTTAACAGATCTACAGTATATTCGCAAGTCAAATAAGGTATTTCGATTTAAAGTTGTGGACTCCACATTATTTAGTAAGACACGAGCAAGAAAAAGTGAGGGCATTCCTACTCTGGAGGATAATGCTCCCCTATGAGTCTAAAGCGTTTTTTATGATTAGAGCTGGTAATATTGCTTAATGTACAGTACAAGTAAATGGTCTTATGCCATGCCAACATAGAGATTAGATTTCCTCAAACAATAAATATGGGGGTTGGGAGGTCATTGTTCAAGAAGAAAAGAAAGAAATTTAGAATGAAATACATTTGCAAAAAATGTCAATGGTTTTGAGTTTTGTTCTGTCCTGTAGATTTATCAGCTATCTGTCTGATGTCTCTTTTTATGGGCTTTGTGATCACTGTGGGATTTTTGGAATGTTTACTCCCCTTTTTATGTTTCTGGCAATTTTGCTCCTCTTTGTGTTCTTCTAATGGTTCTTAGATCTGTTCATTGGCCATCTGCTTCTCTCAGCATATACACCTGCTTGCTATCTGCCATTACTCAGCTTCTCTGTACTTTCCTAGTTGCAGTCCCCCCTTGCCCCCCCCCCCCCACGCTTTTGTTATCTTGCCTATGACATTATTGATCTCTTCAAGATATTTGACTGATCTTTTGCTCCCGAAATGTATATCTTTATGAAGATGATCAAGCTCATTGCCAATATGATAAAATCCTTTTGAAGGATCAAAATCCTTTAAATTGAAAATTATCTGTTGAATTAGCATTGAAATGGTATAAAATGCAACACCGAAGAATTACTATTTGTTCATGCTAAAAGGACAATATAAGAATATGTCATGTTTTATTGCTAAAAAGGCTGCTCTAAAACATTTAGACAAACATGTAAGAAAGAGTGTAAAAAAACAGTTTTAGCAGCAAATATGACAGACTCGTCACAACAGAGATTTAAAATGTGAATTTATCAGTTTACACCAAGTGTACTTGAATTTCAAGAAATATTATAGTTTTATAATGTTTGTTGGATTAAATTGGTTACTGAATTCCTCCCAGGTGGATCAATAACATGGCCAAATGTTGAAGCATAAGATATTTTAATATGATAAAATAGGAGAAGGAGACTTTTATTCCATGCAAACTCCATAGAAAGACATACCTGAGAGGCCAAGCCTCTGCCCAGTGTGCTAGAGCACTGGCTGAAATCAATGTTCCCCTGGCACGGCGGGGCCTCCAGCGGGCTCACCAGGCAGTCCAAATTATCAAGGCTCCGATTAGTGTTCAGCTCTTTCAGGCACGGCAGGGAGCTGTGGAAATTAATTTAAAAATCAGCCTCTCAGGAGTCAAGAAAGAGAGTGGAAAAAGTGAAGGCTTTGTTTAATTGATGATATCTACGGGATTCTTTAAACGACACTCTAAGAAATTCCCCATAGTGTTTAAATATTAAATGCTACTGAGATGGGTGGAGGGTGATATATGTCAGGGTTGGGAGTAGCAGGACAGAGGAAATCATGATTCTTGAGTGACTCATATACAGGATTTTATAAATGTGACTTTTTTCAAAACTTTTTTTAAAATGTATTTCCTCTGTTCTGGCTTGCCAGTTTGACTGCTGGCATCGGTGGAAATGTTTGTGTGCTTAGCAGCGAGGGGTGCTGGTGTGATTTCCATGAGTTTTTGCATGTCATGACATCAGGGCTTGAGGAAGGACGTTTAGAGTAAAGAACGAACACTCGACTCAGGGTACCTGCAGGGTGAGAGAGATGTGACCGTGGGCTTAGAGGACAGATACTGGGAGGGTATGGGCAAACAAGGGTGGTGGGTAGAAGTGGTGGGGCAAGTGAGGTTGGAAAGGGGGCCACACTGCCTGCCTGTGGATGCCACTGACCTCAGATGCTGCATAGAGCATGCACTCTGTAGAGGAGACCACAGATAATCCTCCCGCATGAGAGCGTAGCAGCGGGGCCTGTCCGTGTAGGTGTAGGAGTAAAAGACATGGCAAAATTTTACCGCCTATTTGCCTCTCAGCAAATATAGATGACACTGTATGTCAGTTCTCGTGCCTTCATCTCAACCTCCATGCACAGCCTCTGTGAGTTGGCTTTGACTGAGGGCTGCTGCACGCCCTAAAAATGCTTGTGAAAATATGCTGCCACCTGCTGACGGCCTTTAAGAGCACCAGAAGAAAGCCTGGTCCACACGGTAACACTTAGCATCTCACACACTGTCGCGTTAATGAATGTACAGTAAAAAGAAAAGCACAAACGTAACTATGACAAAACAATGAGTGTGACATTCAAAGCTGTAACAGTTTGAGTAATTGGGTTGTCCGTGCTCGGACACTCACTTGCGTGGGGCCAGCGGCGGCTGCTGCTCGCTCAGGGACTGCTGGGTGGCCTTCAGGTAGCTCTGACGCCGAGCCGCAGATTTGGGGGAAGGCTTCGGGCTCCCCTCCGAGTCCTCGCTGTCTTCTAGGTCACCCATGGCTTTCACATAGCTGCCACTTCGCATCCTTCGACACGGGATCTCAGTTCCTCTGGTCCGTCCACGACCCAAAGTTCCCGTCCAGTCCTCCAGAGGGACCTGGTTAATGAAACACACATACTTGTGAGCCTGTGTCTTACAGACACTCCACGTCTCAAAAAGAGCAATGCTACCTCCAAAGCCCGTAGTACATAAATATAACAGTATAAAGAAAAACAAATTAATTTTAAACTGACAAAAAATCCTTGAGAAATGTTGAAAAAATAATTGACCATGAAAACGAATATGCTGGATTTCCTACCTGAAGGAACTGTTGTGCCAAGTCTTGATGGCACGACTTTGACTTAAGCAGAGTCCTGTTGACTGTAGCGGAGCCCTTTTGCAACACTTGCCTGGCCTGGCTGAGGGTGAGGGTAGACCAGGAGCCCCTCTTGACCACCATATCATCCTTGCTTCCTCTGGTTCTTGCTTCCTCGTCCTTGGACACCACTTGGGTGGCTGGACATGCCAGGAACTTAAGGTCACTGCTGCTTTTTGAGGCCTTAAGAGAGTGTGCAGCGATGGTGTTGTAGCCCTGTGGGATATGTCTGAGAGGCGCCTGGCTGTCTGACACCGCTCTGCCAAGAGTCATCATGCTCAGTGGGTTGCGGTAACCTACAGCAATAGTGCCAGCTTTGGTAGTATCAGCGTCTAGGGCATCATCAGAGCTCCAGAGGGCTATGGTGTTAGGTCTAGGCCTCTGTTTCTGCCCCTCAGTCTTTGCCCTGTCTTTGCTCTTGCTCCTGCGACTTGGTCTGCCGCCCTCCTCACCTCCGCTGGTTGTTCCTCCAGCGGAACGCCCGTTCAGGCTACCCTTCGTTGCAGAGTTTTCCAAAGACTGGGACTTGGCGAACAGCTTCTGCACAGAGTGCATGAGGTGACGTATGCGTCCCGGACTCTCGCTGCGCTGCTTGGACATGCGTCCTCTGTGGAACTGCAAGGTGCTGAAGCCATCGCGCTGAAGGGGCAAGTGCCTCTCCAGCTGGTCCAGAAGGTTGGAAGGTAAGCGGTTCATCTTGGCTGCCGCTGCAGAGGAGATGGTGGCTGAGCCGCTGGTTATCATGGGAGCGCCACTGAGTCCGAGACCCAAGCCCATCCCCATCGACAAGGATGAGGATAGAGTTCCTCCCCTGCTGCCCTGTCCAGCTCCCCCACCACCAGCCATGCAGGCCTGGGAGCAGTCCAGCTGGTCAGCCTGGGGACTGAAATGCAGACGAGGGAAGGTGCTGCTGCTGGTCATCTGGCCGAAAGGCAAAATACAGTCAGGGGCCAGAGAGGTGGGGCTGGTGGGAGAGCACTGGTGTAGATGGGGGTCCAGAGTGCCATAATGGTTTATGGTTGGGCTCAACAGAAAGGAGCTGTGAGGGTCAGATGTCAAAGGACACAGAGGATTTTGGGGGCATCCTCCCGGTTCACATGAGTCAGAGAGGTGACGACATCGGCTGGTTCCTAGACCTTTCATGGTGGCTGAGGAATCGCTCTTAGAACATGCCAGCAATTAGTACAGGCCTTCAGACCTGTAGGGGTTAACCTGAAACAAGGAGAGATGAAAAACACACAGGAATTAAACGTTGAACATGGAATGCAAATGGCTATTACTTCAAATGCACTCTTATAGCTGGGTTTTGATGAATCATTATGCATGAAAAGATATTAAGTGTTCATTTCTTTCATCTTTAATTATTTTTCAATACATTTTCATCCCTTTTCTTTTTGGTTTCTCTGTTTACTACAAAGATGCCAGTGTGTCTTCAGTTATAGAGGCTGCAATTAGCCATGCACAACAATTAAAGAGCCATTTCTGTGTAATTCAGAAAGACAAGAAAAGAGCCTTACATATATCTATACTTAAAGCTAATGAGTTAGAACCCAATTAGAAGTAATTATCTTCTTGTGTGTCCTAGGATTTCATAATTTAGTTGTTAAAAATACACCACGTTTTATCTCTGCTCTTCCAGTAGTGGCATATTAGAGCAAAGCCAGGAAGTTCCCACATCCTGTGAAGTGTCTGATGGAACAAACCACCAGGAGGAGCAGTAGCAGAAAGTGCACAAATGGCAGTAGAGAAAAATATACATACACAGTTTATGTTTTCTTAACACACCAGCATTACCATACCATGAAAAAGAAGAAAAAAACAGGATTCATTTTTGTTTGAACATAACTTCTATGTAAAGATTTATACTAATTTTAATTAGGAATTAATTTAATCAGAGTAATGTCCATTGATAAATGTCATGCTTTCCTCTGGTATTAAAACAAAAAACTCATCTTCCTCTACCTAATAAAAGTGGCTCCAATCCCTCTTTGCCTCCCATCCACTTTACAGTAGCATTTTTCAAAGTTATGTTGTAGGGGAGTTGGACTCAGCATTGGGAATTACACTTTAAATCATCGAGGCACATAAACTGGCCATTTTAGTGAACATGTGCGCATTTCCATTATGCTTCTCTGTGCCTATACTTTACACACTGGACCATATTCCCCTCCCTTCAGAGCCCATTTAATCTTTCTTTACAGATGTATTATATTTTCTACTCTTTTGTGGGTGGAGAGGGTATTGATAGGAAAAGATGTACAGGTCCAAACTGCTGCAGCAATTCTTGCCACCTTCTCCCTGAGATGCTGTTGATCAAAAATAGGGATTGCTGGACCTCTTCCATTACGTCTGCTCCTTTTCCTTTTGCCAGTGTATGACAGGTGATAAGGGGGCTGATAGATTCATCTACTGAATGTAAGAAAGTAGGGAGGATGCATCACCTGTACATTACATAAGAGTATCTATTTGTAACAAGATAGATTTAAGGCATTAACACAAATATTTTGTGTCAACCATATGATTGCCAAGGGCTCATTCACTCTTTTTTCAAAACTTTGATAGGCATGATGTGAATGTGTGTCCATGATGTCACAGGGTTAAAGATTGGCTGCACTGAGGATGAGTTGCAATCCTATCATAAGGTCATGCAGAGGCGAATGAGACAAACAACTATACACTGTGAGTCATGTTAGAGTCACCAGATATGTTATTGGATTGTGTTAGGAGTCTAGCCACCACAAAACCTGGGCTATACACCCAAACATACTTACATGAAACATTTAAACAATTCCCCTGCATGACTGATAATTGTTCTCATTGGGAGTTGAGCAATCTGATATTGACAAAAACAGTTTTATTCTCAGTCATGATCTCCACCACTGTGCCACCAAACACATGAATGCAACACGGCAATGTGAGAAAAGGCACACAGCATCGCTTATTATTCCTCAGCAAATAAGACAGACTGTTCAGTTTTCTGTATGAATTGTTTCACCAAAGCCAGGAATCTGACAAGACAGAGGCAATATATAAGACATCATGGTGATGTACAGCCTGGAAGTGCTACACTGACAACGCGCTGGGAATTTTGTGACTCATACATGTAAATGAGCTTCACGTTTACGAGGCGCTATTTGTCCCAGAGCAGGAAATGGTGCCTCATTTCTTCAAATTATTTAGCTGTCTTCGTCATCTCCGCAAACCTGCTTACTGTCAAGTGAATTGTGATTTCTGATCCCCTAACCATCAGAGGTGATAGATCTTCACTAATGTTCAATGACAGAGGAATCTTTAAGTTGCATTTCAGGGATTTCTAGAAAGGAATACAAAATTCAGCATCTGAAATAACATTTTGATCAAATGTCAATGTATTCCCTGTAATAGCAAGCTGACTGAAGGCAACAGTGCTGATATTTACCTTATAGCTGCTCCAGATATCACTGAATCCTATATTGACTGCCCTGTTGTTTTTGAAGAAACAGTCACAAATCATCTCAGCTTAGAACTTTACTTGGTTTAGTGATCGGACATTACAGCCACAGTTTCAAGGATGTTGTTCAGAATGCATGTGTGAACAGAATGCCACCGTTACTATATCTGATACGATAACATTCTACTCACAATTAAAGATGGGAAAACACATGCTGAATGTGAGACAGTAAACTATTTTAAGAAAATATCATCCCGTACTGAATTCCATGGCAGCAACACAAGGATAACAGAAGACTGGAAAGTAAGCCGTATTTGAAAGAAAACACAGGAGAAACGTGTTGCAACTGATTAGGCTCAATGGCAGAATGTCAGTAACATGATAAAGTAGAAAAAGAGCACCTCTTTTAGAAGTTAAAATGGGGTAGAGGCTCAGTCTTTTACGAAGAGTTCATTTAGAGATCTGGAGCCATTTTAAAAATGGCAACATATATAGCTGAAGACATGGATTTTGCATGTCTTCTGGAAATTTGACATGGAAAGTGCCCCCTAAACAGCAATGCATGAAGAGCAGTTTTAATTATATCTTAAAAATCGTTGCATGAGTTTTTAGAAAGCAGCCATATGGCATGTTGTGACCGTTTAGCTCAAAGCCTGCATCGCTGATATTTTGGGGATGCATTAGTGCCAGTGGAACTCACAGTTTGCATATCTGACAAGGCATAATCAATACTGAAAAGTATATACAGGCTTTAGAGCAACATATGCTTTGTTTCACCATGATGTACTTTATAGGGAAGGCCTCACATATTTCAGCAAGACGACTCTAACCCTGCCTCAATTACAACATGACTGTAGTAGAATAGTCTGGACGCTGGTGTGGTCTGCTTTCTGTTCTGACCTTTAACCTATGAAAAACATATGGAGCATCATGACACATAAAATAGAAAAGGACTATGTTTTTCACAAAAGGTTATATACATACAGTATATCTGTCATGAATCCAAACATCATGGGGTGGTTAAGTGCCTCGACAGCATAACGGATTATCATAAGACTAAATCTGAGGAAAATGTGAAAACTCAGCTAGTTTGGGTCGCTCTCTCAGGTAATTCTGCTCGCAAATGTATTCATTCTCATAGCTGACTTCAATCAGAGTAATGCTGCATCAAGGTTATGAAAACTCATAATTCACAGAGCAGAAATCCATGTTGCACTAAATTCGCTCTAACAGATGCTGTCTGTATCAGAGTGGAGTGACTCACAATCAGTCAATGGTAAGAGCCCTCTCCCACATCGAGCATTAAATCTTGCCCAGCAGCTGAATGTGGAACGTTAACTGCACACGTTTTCATTCCTCTGTGTTGCTTACCCACTTCTTACACCTCTCTGACCTCACGTACTCTTGTTCCAGTGAGCGAGCAGCCACTTATCTGACTCAGTGTTCCTGGACTGGCGCAAATACATCTGACAGATACATGGGAGTTTTTTTTCAACGGCACAGCCTGCCTCAAATCATCCTCCCCAGTTGACTGTAGCCCCACGTGGTCGGGTCCCGTAGGCGCCACTGCTGACAAACTGACACACACCCACACTCTTACACACACGCACAGAGACGTGTTAAATTGCCCACCCACCTAGCTGCCGTGCTAATGAAACCCTGATAAGTGTCGAGCATCACAGGGGCAAGATAAAAAAGAAGCGGCACTCGCAGTTCTTTCCATTCTGTGACACGTTCAGAGCATCTTTGTGTCTGTCCATACCATAGTGGCCACATTTACAATCTGACTGAATCCTTAGACATACAGTATTCAAAGCCTATGAAGTCTAAATATTTAGTCACTTGCTGACCCATGCATGTATTACACTGTGTGTACTAATCATACATATATATATTTATTTTTTTTGCCAACAATGGCAGACACAAAATACATAACGTGTAGAAAATATATGGAAATCAAGATGAATAGAAGTCTTCCACTCTGCAATTTAACTAAAGCTGGCTGTGAAATAGTTTGTCGTCTACATTCTCTGACCACAGCATCTGTTAAAAGCCAGTGCATCTGAAAAATTCATCTTTCCATCACACCACTGAGGTAACAGGTTCAAAAGTACAAAACTACATATGTGATTCACGACAGATTTTTAAAAACTCTCACACTTGTAACATGGAAATCTTTTCCCACTGAGACACAGAGCAGTTCAGAGTGAGTGTGCTGAGGTCTGGTTTGTCCTTGGGTTTAAAAGTTGGATACCATTCATGCACAATGGGGGCAGAAAAATCTGATCAGCTCAATTTAAAAGGTTTGCAGAATGTGCTGACGCTAATTCTGTTCTTGTTTTGGTTTTTTCTTCTTTTTGTACAATATACACTATCCTTTTTAGCTATATTTAATGTCAAATAACTCTCCTACAGGGAATATCTGACTCTTTAAATGTTCCACCAGCTATTATTAACTGCGTGCCTTTGCGTGTTTAAGTAAGTTACAGAAGGTTGTTTTGTTTTTTGTTTTGTTTTTTTCTTTTTCTGCTACTGCTGCAAACACGATTAGAAGCAATAAAAGGGATCCAAAGGCGGATGCAGAGTGGAGGGATATTTCTCTTTGGCTTCATTACAAACCGCGACTCCTTCAAATTACATGTAATCATTCAATTCACTGTGCAGAAATACACAATTTAGTAGCCTTAAATACTTAGTAGCACAAAGTTGCCCTCCACCAAAGCTGCAAAAAAGAGTAACAGATTGGCCAATAAAAAGCTGGAAGCCTGGTATTTACTAGTTCAT